ATTGGTGGTGAGGAAGCGAGTGCTGACCGTGTGGCGGCTAGAGATTTTCCTCCGTTCTTACGTGAGGTTATGGAGGAAGGACAGTACACTGACGACCAGGTGTTTAACATGGACGAATCTGGTCTTTTCTGGAAAAAGCTACCTTCCAAGACTTTCGTTGTCCAGTCTGCCAGCAAGGTAAGGGGTCGGAAGTTGCAGAAGGAACGCATCACCGTCCTCTTTACCACCAATGCCTCCGGTACCTGTAAACCAAAGTTATCGGTGATTCACACAGCCCGCAAGCCGCACGCCTACAAGAATATGGACATGAACAAGCTTAATGTCCACTGGCTAACCGCACGTAAGGCGTGGATGTCCTCTTCTCTGTCCCTCTTCTGGTTTGACGACTGTTTTGTTCCCGACGTGAAGAAATTCTGCGAGCAACAGAATGTTCCATTCAACATTTTGTTGCTCCTTGACAACGCACCTGGACACTCGCCCCTACTTATGGATCGTCACCCCAACGTAAAAGTGGTCTTCCTTCCTCCCAACACTACGTCATTAATCCAGCCCATGGACCAGGAGTTGATCTGCAATGTGAAAGCTGCATACTCTGCAAAGAAGTTCAAGCTCCTGAACGACTCTACCAACACCAAGGATGAGTTGCGTAAGCTGGATGACACCGACAGCGAGAGTAAAAGCGACAAGGACAAGGAACAAGAGGTGGCGACTCAAGAAGTTCTCGTCAAACAGTTTTGGAAGAAGTTTAACGTCAAACAAGCTGTAGACTTCTTGGTGGAGGCATGGGATCAGCTGTCTATTGCTACGATTCGTCACGCATGGAGACATGTGTTGCATGGCATACCAGGTGAGAGGAGGAGTCAACCTGTGACTGGTGAGGTTCAGACTGTTGCAGTAGCAGTGGACCTTGCCAGAGAAGCTGCGCACAATATTACAGCTGAAGGCTTCTCCGAGACCACCAACGAAGACATCCTGGAGGTGATCAGAGATCCTGAAGTGACTGCCGACGAGATGTTGGAAGATGAGCACGTCAGAGAAGAGGAAGAAGGTGCGTCATTCTCCGAAGAACACAAGTTAAGTCATAGTGATATTAAGGGTGCCATGGAGTGTGCAGAAAAAATGAAGTCCTTCCTTTCCCGCGACAATGACGATGACCGCTATGAAGTCTTCCATACCCGGCTGGTGCAGGCTATGGAGCCGTACATCACGGTGTACCAAGACAACATTAACACAAGCCGTCAAAAAAGCATTACCGAGTTCTTCGCCCGCAACCCACCACAGCCAGCCAGAGCCAGTGATAGTGACAGTGAAAGTGACTTTGAGGGATTTGTCAGGGAAGCCCTGACAACTGTAAGTGACAGTGATGGTGATGCACCTAGTAATGGTGATTCACCTGAGGGCCAGTAATCTGCCCTCTGCCTCGGAACCAGCCTCCATCCCCGTATGCCGACCCATCTCTTCTACTAACGTAAGTGTTCAACATAACTTTTAGTTTTCCTAACCTAACCTTTATTTTTCCTAACTTAACCTTTATTTTTCCTAACCTAACCTCTTCTATATTACTTGTTTGTTCATACCATCATAAAGTTATGATAAAATTTTTACTACAACATAGTTGTGTGTCGTCAAAAAGTGGAGTTTGGGGGTCGGGCCAGTCTCTATTGGAATTAATCCCATATGTTCTGTTGTTCACTTAACGCGGTTTTCACTTAACACGGTACCCTGTGGTTTCAATTGACCGCGTTAAGCGGGATACTACTGTACTGTAATTTTAATATCAAATTATAAATTATATATACAGTATAGTCTGGATTTACGCGGTCAATTGAACCCATGGAAGTCCGCGTAAAACGAGAAACGCGTAAACAAAATAACAGAACATATGGGATTAATTGAAATAGAGACTGGGCCGACTCCCAAACTCCACTTTTTATGACACAATACGTACCTTGTAGTAAAAATAACATCATAATTTTATGATGGTATTGATACACACATAATATCTAAATAAAAAACTACAAATCTAAAGGTGTTTAACGCTTGCGTTAGAAGAAGAGATGGGTCGGCACACGTGGATAGCGGCTGGTTCCGAGGCAGAGGGCAAATCAGTGGCCCTCCGGTGAATCACTTTCACTACTCGCAGAGGTTTGCAGGGCCTCCCTGACAAATCCCTCAAAGTCCATATCCTCACTGTCACTATCACTGACTTGGGCTGGCTGTGGTTATGGTGGGTTGCGGGCGAAGATGTCCGTAATACTACGTTGACGACTAGCATTGATGTTGTCGTGATACATCTAGACATACGGCTTAATAATTTTCGACAGAAGGTTATTAGACACTTCATACCAATGCTTGACTATGTCTTTGTCAAGGATGAGCTTAATTTTCTCCCCCAACTTGATGATTTCCTTCACATAACCATGGTTTTTCTGGGGTGGTGGGAGTCCAGCAGAAGCCATTGTGAGGGGAATAGCGGGCACAAGAGAGAACTGTACAGTATACGCGGACTGAGAACAATGAGACTGGCCCGGCTAGGTCAGCGACTTCTGGTGGCAGGCATGTCATGTTACATTAGACCAATCACAGCTAGCGGTGGAGAGAATGCGTGGGTGGTAAGGATGCGTGGCCCAATCACAGTCCGATACGCCATATGACGTCAGCGATAACGTAAGAGCGACCTAATGCGCACCCTGCCCGCGCCGCTTCCCGCGTAAATGATGCAATGACCCGAGTAATTCAAAATTTTCATTCTGGAAAGGTGCCGCGTAAATGACCAAACGCGTAAACAAAATCCGCGTAAATGCAGACTATACTGTATTGTAGTTTTTCTGTAGTGTTTAATATTTTATATTATCAATGATAAAACATACACCAGAAGAGGCTGATCCTACAAGAATATGATTATGAATGCAGGTAAATAAAATCATTGGTGAAAATGCCAGTGCCAGCCTCCCTCCCTCCTCTCTGCCTGTTCCCTGTAACTCAGTGTCTCACACAAGACTTTAAACTCTAAATATGTGTATGTGTGTGTGTAATAATAATAATAATAATAATAATAATAATAATAATAATAATAATAATAATAATAATAATAATAATCATAATAATAAACGGTTTATTGAAAAAGTTCTGCAGCCTTGAGGCTGAAAAATACATTGGACATAAATGACTTATTACATATATTGGTGGTTTAACAAAAACCTTCATTAGAGAAAGTTAAAGGAACATACAGTGAACATACAGATTAATGTTTGCAGTGGAGGTCACGTAGATCATGTGTGCTGAGGTGCAGAATAGCAGACACGTAGTGTAGTAACTCCCTCAGATGGTGTTATGAGGGTGTGTGTGTGTGTGTTGGGGTATTAATTAATGAATAATAACTCTGGCCTAAGGTTAAAAATGCTTTGAAAGCATTTGAGGTGGATGTAGGATAGATGATTAGTAGGTCTCATGTTTTTTACCTGACCTGACCTGTTGTTGTCACCCATTTTCATAAGCTCTTCTTTCATTTGCGGTGGAGGTTGTGTGTGGATTAATGGATCCCATGTTACTGACCTGACCTGATGTTATGTAAGGTGACCCATTGGATATAAGCCTCTCTCAGTCCCTGAAAATTCAGTTGCCTCTGAAGATGTCTTGAATTAAGTCGAGAGCTAAGGTGCTCCAGTGTAGTTAGTGACCGAGAGGTAGCAGTGAACATCCCACATGATGGCGGCAGGACTGACTGAGTGAATGTAAACAAACCCGACATGCCAAGTGACGTGTGGCATGTTTGGCGGGGAATTTAACAGAATCATGCTGGATTTATTTAAATAGTTCGGTAGTAGGCAGCTATCAAACAGGGAGGTACTACAGCCTGGGAAGATATTGGAAGTATAATGTGTTGTCTCATGGTAGACCCTGCTGCCATATGGCACCACAAAAATTGTGACCAAGTCCCAGGTTGCTGATATGACTTTCTGCCTCATTTACACACAATTGCAGGGTCTCAATTGTCTCATACTATTGACATCACAACATACATACTGTCGTTTCTCACTCGTTTTTTTTTTTATTACAGTATTATTATTATTATTATAATTTTTATTTATTTTATTAATTATTATTATTATTATCATTATTATTATTATTATTATTATATTTTCACCTCCAGGCCCTGATGTGGGTCAGTGACCTGTGCCCGGGTGGACTAATCCTCTTAATAAAAAAAAAAATAAATAAATAAATAAATCCAGCGAACATAACAGAAAGCTTGATTAAACAGAAATTTCAATTTAACGAACAGGTGTGGCTCGAATTATTCGTTAAATCAAGAAAATACTGTACTTTCAAACTATCCCCGTGTACATCTTCAGTGCTAATCAACTAAACTTCATGTTAGCTCTATTTCTAGCTCTCTTCTTTTTCAAAATTTCCAACATGTGTTAATTGAAAACTTACACCCATTATGTCTGGAAAATGCCTGCAAGTGAGTCTTGGTAAACCAATAGCTCCTCCTTCTTGTCTCCCACTGCTGCCACGAAAGATTAGTAGGGGATGGTGCGCAGTAGGAAGCAGTGGTAAAAAAAACAGCAAAATTTGACAAAATTAACTGGCGAGTGTTTATTAAATTTAGTTTCATATGTTAACACTTTGTTTTACCTATGAAAACCATAACATCTGCAGAGTCATTACTGTTACCTAAGGAAGCCATCTTACAGTATTTATAGGGTAAGAATTGACACTGACAAGAATGCACATTTATAGGGATGTTTTAATGACATTCCAACAAATTAATCACTTTAACAGACACTCCTCTAAAATATACCCACTCTGTTATGAGAGGTCTGATTGTATATAACTTTTTCAGTTTCTTTGACCAATCAAGATTATTGACTAAAACTCACACCCACTTATATTACAAGATTTAATGTTATGGTTTTCTTGGCAAAACTAATTAAATGAATTCCCTTAAGCAAAACCAATAGAATTCACAAAGCAGGCTCACCACACTAACTAACCTGAGTAGGCCAGTGCCTGATCCTATATCCAGCACGGTCTGGTGTCCACATTCCATTGCTCTTTCAATCGCCAGTTTAAAGGCGCCATTTCTGGTGGAATCATTGAGCATTGGCAGGTGCCATCGATCAACCAGGGCATTGGTCAACCGGCTTCGAGTCTCTTGAACATTTGGGTCACGAGGACATTCCACCTGAGCCAGACATGCATAATTCCAAGCTTCGCGCACACTCCCATGTCTGTAACGACCCAAGGTAAATGAAACCACACATATATGCACAACCAAATTTATTGCACAGAGAAATTCATCATTTCAAAATGTCTTTGAATAATGCAAAGCTTCCAGGCTTAACTTTTACATTAATACAATAGGGCATAGTTTTTGGGCTTTGATAAATGCGGATTATATTACACATTATTATCGGATTCCATATATTCTAAGTCCTCACAGTTTGATTTTTGTTACTTTAAGAACTCACAGGAAAGAAACAGTGCACTGTACTGTAAAATAAATACTTAACAGTAAAACTACATGGGCCTGATGATAGTTTAGTATTTTTCAAGTTTAGAGCAAATATCAACATTTATCATAAGGCTATACAATTTAATTCACAACTGTATTTTAAAGCTCAAGAAGAATGTAATCCACTATATTTTTTTTTATCCATACCAGGTACAGTATACAGTACAGTACCATCTATATATACTGTAAGCTACTCCATCAATATCATGATGACTAGCTTAACTTCTTATCTTATAGTTTTAGCATTACCTTAAATACTGTATACTTAATACAAATTAACAAATATGAAAAGTGCTGGAAATAAGCATAAACATATATGTAACAAAGACACTCTTCAAAATAAGAAGTTTCTATGAGAAATATATAGGAGAAGTTCTGTGACAAAGTTTTTAAGGTCTGAGTCAGGTTTTATTGCCCAAACTAAATTTTTTTTTCACACAGATGAATTTTTAGGGAAATTACATTATTCTATACGATAGTATAATTTCCAGTCTCAAAATTTGAACCAGAAAATGCAAAAGCTCCAAATAGGTGACATAAGTACCTGGTGCATAACCCCAATATTTCACATTTGGAAATACAATACTGTACAGTGTAGTACAGTATTCAGAAACCTCTAAAATAATAAGGTTAAAAAAAATAAATATACAGTATTTATTTTTTTACAGCACTATCATTATAATAACACTAAACGTCTCCGAGACTTGTTAAATAAGTATCTTGAATTAAAGGTCCCATGGAAAAAAAAATGATTACAGGTACTGTATATCTATTTTTTTTTTAACAACATTCAATAGCTTTTTCACATAGTATGAATTAGTATTGTAACGTGTTAGTTTAATCTCATCTTCAAACACAAAATACAGCTGCAGTACATTATCTGGTTTGTCTGGACCCACTGACCATAATTTTATATATTATATACAATAGAGTTTGCATCTGCCATAAATTATCTCAATTTTGAAGAAGAAAAAATGCTCTAGTTTCAACCATAGGTCTCAAAGTGAAGAAAGGACATAAGGAGTAACTTCTATATGTACAAAACTTACAACTGCATTTAAATACTGTAGAAGAATAAATAACGCATGAATTGAATAATTCTTAAGCTGAAAACTTGTTTTCTTCGTTTTTCAGTATTTACTGCCATATACTGGAATTTGATAATTCAGAATTTTATATAACTTGGCATGGATATGGTCTTGGAATGTATAACTCGGGGTTGCCGAGATATATAAAATTATCTGGGAAAATCTTGGCATATCTGGCCACCTGCATCACCTACCGTGCCTTTGTGTCACCTACCGTGCCTTTGTGTCACCTACCATGCCTGTGTCACCTACCATGCCTGTCACCTACTATGATGCTTCATTCTTTGCCTGCAGTGCTGGTAAATGTTCCCATTTTTTACATTTAGTAATTACATGTACACATATAAGTTAATAATTTTTTATTGTTGTATTTTTGTGGGGAGCCTCAATGTCGGAATTTGGGATAACTAGGCAAGGCCAGAGCCCCATATGTGCCGAGTTAAAGAGGGTTTACTGTTTACAGTATTTAAGTAATTTTAGGGTTTCTATACAATAAAACAAACTCTTTTACCAAGAGAACAACATAAAAACTGAGGAATCATTAATTTTTTTTAAATACTTTCTGAATTTTTAAAGCAAATGGCAGAGAAACCGGACTTAAGACCTCAATCCATATCCTATATTGAATCGGTCATTATTTTTGTCTTAATATAACACAAAAACTAAAAACAGTGTATTTATGTTTGAATGTGATCATGACCTTCTCAATGTTCTGGTCATTCTTGAAAGGTCATAAGAAGTACCAATCAGTCAAAACAAAGGAAATATGTGCCACCAAGAAAAATGTCTTCTGAGAAAGGACACATAGAAGCCAGCACACAGAGAACTGATTAACGAATGCTCATACATATCTTAAGCAGATAATATTTAGCAGACATAGCACACATCGGTTTTTTTTTTAATTATTCCAAGCCTTTTTCTATTATGATGTAAGATGGTGATGATCCTTGTTTATTAGTAGTTAGAGACTGGAGGGTTATCCCACCCTCTTGGTAGGATGCTAGTCCACCAGAGTTTTTCCTATTTATGTAAGTATACAGTCCCAGACCAAAGTTCCTGATCTGCACCTTACTTGTTGGCAGGTGATACCACTCATGAAAAACAATGTTTTCCATATTTGCTTCTGTATCTTCCCAGGTTGCTAAAAAAATTTCAAGGTATGACAAGGAATAAAATTATTTTAAACCTAATCAATACAATTCTACAAAATGTACAAAATATATAAAATATACACAAAATAATAGATTACAAAAGCAGAGATTTTACTTCATATCTCAGCAAGTAGACCTGTTACTGTAATAATAATTTAGTGTAACCTACTAAGTAATTAATTTTAATTGCTTCTACACTGCAGCAACTAAGAAAATATATTTAATATTTCTTCAAAAATGTTATAAGGAAGATTCACATTGCTTACAGCTGCAAGATTGGCGAATCATGGGTACAGGGGTGCAAATCACCTAGGTTTTCAAAATTTTCTTCCAAGCCTTTAAAGTTGGGGTATATTTTTTAAGATCTAGCAAAACATTTCAAGTAGTGGTACCATTGGTCACTGACTAGCCATTGTCACCAACACACAAACTAGTACTGAACAGGTCAACATTCTATCTCTGATACTTCCATTTCTCAATAAGGACTGAGAAAGGATGTCATGGTTTTGTTTAATAAATTCACAAAACAATTTACCTAATCAAATTTGACATTATTTGACACAATAGGTTACATCAATATTAAATAGTCATGACATAGTGAAGAGTGTGTCTTGGTGGCTGGGATTAACAAGGATAATATCAGATTCCTCCAAGCTGTATTTTCCCTCAGAATACTAGGCATGAATGTGAGGGATATTATGGTTCTGAAAAGGACATTTTATCTCTCTACTTCCCAAGATCAGTGCTGAACGACATGGCCAATATATTGCACACCAGACAGCAGGACAAGTTTAAACAGAGGTGTTATCGACACCACCACAGCTGACAGTGTCGAGTAGCTCCACCGACCAGACATGAACAGGAGGGAAGAGAAGTTAGTCTTAAGAAGAATCGTCGGCCTCCGTGACTCTGGTCTCTCCATATGTGCCATCGCGTATGAGCTTGGTATGTCCCCCCACAACTGTAGCCAAGTGGATCAGGACGTGGGAGGAAAGAATAAATGTGACCGACCTGGGTAAGCTATTATTGGACCAGTAATACCGAAGGACAATAGCATTGATGAATTTAATATGATCAAGATAAACTCTATAAGATTCCCATTCTCTTCTCAGCAAGATAAACTCTATGTGGAGAACTACTCCAGCTGGTGGATGGCAACACCATCGTGGTAGCCAAGCGGACCACTTCATAAACACTGAGTTCCCTAAGGGAGAGCTTGCAGTTAGCAGTGCCTGCAGGGATTGTGAGACAGAGGTTGAATCAGGGGGGATCTACACCACTGCACTTCCATGAGGAAAGAGCGTCTGACAGAGGGACACCGGGCAGGGAGACTGGCTTTCACTCAGCTTTATGCTGAGAAAGATGAGGATTTTTGGAAGAGTGATATTCTCAGATGAAAAGGTTTTCCACAGCACTTCTCATGGCCAAATTCATTGCTGGAGATGCATAATACAAGGCATGATGTTTGCAATATGTGCAGTCATGCAGATCATAGTAAATACTGTAAATGGTGGTAGTTTTACCATAGAGAACAACAAATAAAATAAAGGGATTTTCTACATTATGCATGATCTACTTTATACAGTATATTGCCTATCAATAAGCATTAACTAATTGTTACTCTGTCACGCTTGCAGGTATGACAAGTCGAACATACTGTATTCTAAAAGGCCCGTTAAGGACACGTGATCTGCACTGTCTGGGGCTGGGTTTCACAACATGGCATGAGTGATGTGTTCCTAATTGAGGGGAGGTTTACAGCAGCAAAATACATTGTGCTGCTTGAGGAGGGTTTCCTGCCATCCCTCTGTTTACCCTTTCCTTCCTGGGCCCATTCTATTTGTCCAAGACCGTTACCCTATACACACTGCCTACGTTGTTCAACAGAGGTAAGGGAGGCAGGACGAGTTTGGTATGTTTTGGAGCACCCGTTTGGGCGCTGGCGATTTGGCACGGCCGTTAGGACGGCAAACCTCGGCGCCAGCCCATTTGGCAACGGACCTTTTGGCGCTGAGAACATTGTTTATTTGGAAAACTGGTTTTTGTTCTACATATTTTTAAATTCAAGAGTTGATATGCAAAGTAACATTTGTATCCGACTTTGAAACTAACAGAACTAAACAACTAACCTCAACTACCAAACTACTCAACTACTCAACCTCGTTTAGCCGTTTGCTCAGGCGACAGATGGCGCTACTGTTCCTGCCAACAGGTGAAGTCACAGTTCCTCCTTAGTCTCAGTTGTGTTTGCTGCGGGTGCGCTGCCACAAGTGTTTCATTCTTTTGCCATCTTTTTATATTTTGTTTAACTAAATACCCTTCGTTTATGCATATGATGGCTGAGGAAGTATTAACGAAACGTGGTAAAATTTTTTTTTTGCATAATGGATTCCTCTACGTCTTTGACAAAGCAAGCAAAGCTGATAGGGAGTTGAAATTTTGGCGTTGCGAGCAAAAAAATCGGTGCAAAGCAAGGCTGCATACTAAAGCTGGAGAGGTGGTAAGGGAGCTGAACATCCATTTGCGTGAAGCTTCTGCTCACAACTAGGGGCTGCACTTGTCAAAACTAATATAAACAAGAGAGCAGCGGAGACTCTTGAGTCACCGACTGTAGTTGTTAATGAATGTTTGACAGACATATCCCAAGCTAGTCTAGCCCCCATTCCTAATATATCTGCTTTGAGAAAAATAATACGTAGAAAGCCTAATTCAGTGAACAACGCCCCCACCAATCCAACTGATTAACAACAATTAGTTCTGCCAGAATGCTACAAAATATATGTCCCTCAACCAGGAGTGGATGATATTGTTTTATTGTGTCATAGTGGACCAGGCCCTAATCGGATATTAATCTTCGGAAGAGCGAGCTGGCTCAAACATTTAGTGACATATGATATGTGATTTGTCGATGGCACATTCAGTATTGCTCCCAGCCTCTTTTCTCAGATTTATGTAATTTTGGCAAAAAAAAAACACGGAATTCACCCTATACAGTAGTGTATGCTCTTTTGCCCAACAAGCAACGCACCACATAAGTGAGAATTTTCGAGTTACAGTATTGAAAGAAATGGAACCCAATTTGAGACCCACTTCAATCGTCTGCGATTTTGAACAAGTTGCGCACAGTGCTATGAAGGACTCATTCCCTGATGTTCAAATAAAAGGACACTTTTTTCATTTAGCCCAAAATTTTGCAAACACATCTAGCTAGATTGGGTTTCACTAATCTGTATAACACTGATCCAGATTTCGCGTTAAAAGCTAAAATGATTATTGCCCTTTGTTTTGTACCTTTGAACAAGATTGACGAATATCTGGATGCTCTAGCGACCGAGTTGCTACAAGAACTTCAAGGTTTGAAGATACACATGTTGGTCGTCAAAACAGACGAGCTCCTCTATTCCTCCCCGTGATTTGGAACCTTTATCAGAGAACTTTAAACGGGGAAGACCGCACAAATAATCATTCGGAGGCAGCCCACCATCGATTAAAATGTGAACTTAGCATGCAACGTCCCACCATATGGAAATTAATAGATGGGCTGCGTAAAGTACAGAAAGATAGAGATGCATATTATGAACGGTTACTAGCTGGGCATGAACCACCGCAGAAACTAAAAAAGTATAGAGATGCAGATAGAAGAATACATGAAACCGTTCTTAGATGTGAAAACATAGATACTGTCGAGTACCTGAGGAGCCTTGCTCATAATTACCAAATGAAGAGCTAAAAAAAGTTACATAACTTTTTTTTATTGATTAACAGATTTAACTTTTTAGGTATAAAGGTAAATTACAGTTTTAAATTTTTTTAAAGTTTGACCTTTGAATTATGAGGAATCAGACAAATATTTTATTTCCTAGCGCCAAAATGTATGGCGCCCAAAAACCTGGCGCCAAATCAGCTAGAGACCAAACGGCTGAGCCCAATCGTCCCATTCCGAGGCAGGACTACTTAGGGCAGACACGAACGTTATAGAACACGTGTGGGCATACAGTACATGGTCAACACGTGGGAGATGGAAGAGGAATGGACCGGCAATCAACTTATGATGTACATTAACGGTGGGAATACTACAGGGGTAGACCGGAGCTGGTGCGAAACCTTGTGGCATCCATGCCGGACAAGCTACGGCTAACAATGAAAAGGAGGGAGAATGGACCAACTACCGTAAGAATAATTTTGGTGGCAACATGTATTATGCATAAATTCTGTAATCTAAAGAATAGATTGTTTGAATTACCGCTTTATTTTTTAACTGTAAATATATACGAAGATATTAAGTGTATATATCATCAGCTACACAACATTTATGGTTACCTATATAGGGTATACGAGTATACGTAGTATAACTAATAATAAAATATGGTTATGCTGCTTTTAACTTATTTTTCATGCAACCCTAATCAATGGTGTTATGACCTACTTATAGTTGTGATGCACTTTTATATTAATTGGGTCATTCATATGTCAGCTATACTCCCATCATGTCATCCATTGTAGTGATCAAGCCAAGGTTACGTTCGGTAGACCCTATGATAAGGTCATTATCACGGAGGGTGATAAAGCATTTGCTTATGAATCATATTATCCCTCAGAGTTATGCTTAGTTTTTTGGCTAGCATTCTAAGGGAAAATACTGTACAGCTTGGAGGAATCTGATATTATCCTTGTGAACCTCATCCACCAAGACACACACACTCTCCACTGTCATGATTATCCAATAATGATGTAACCTATTATGTCAAATAATGTCAAAGTTGATTGAGTAAATTGTTTTGTGAATTTATTAAACAAAACGGTGACATCCTTTCCCAGTCCTTATTGAGAAATGGAAGTATCAGTGCTCGATTGTTGAACTACTCGGGTACTTGTTTGTGTGGGGGGATGATCAGACAGCGGACCCACCGTCCAGTAAGGGTGGGAGCGGACTTTGACACCCCCCCCCCTAAACTGTGTCAGGAACTTCGGTCCGGGACTGTACATCCAAAAGAATATAAATTCTTCAAGGGTTAATGGTCCGAATGGGAACCCCAGTCTTCTGCTCCATCTGGAAATCAAACCTGGTACTGTTTTCCTGTGAGGAAATACTCAAACACTGATATAAATAAATACTGTATGTACAGTACCAGATAAGCTAATTTGGTATATGCATCCTGATCAATGGTCAATATCAGTTCTTACAGTAATAGAGTAGAATGCTCTGTCCCAATCACCTACATAAACCCTGGAAGCCCTACAGAGGAAAAAAAAATAGGAAGCAAAGACAAAATGTTCTTTTAATTCTGTGATTCCCCTTAAAGGTTTGCCTCTTAAAAATATCCACACTAAATCCCAGACATAGTGGAACTGCAAATATTAATAATCTTCTTTCCTTTAACTTATATATTTAAAAAAATCTTTTGTATATTTATCCATGCTTAAACAGTACAGTACTTGAATTATCTCTTAATCATATTCTTTGACGCCCACTGAAGTGATCAAATAGGGGGAAAAATGGTGCCATATACTGGGACACATTCACTGAGAAATGCCGCTTAATAATCTGCCACACACTTTTCAGACACCATTATTCTTTCAAGCACCGTTACAGTACTGTATTTTCAAAATATTTATTACCGATTCTCCTTTATATGTTGCTCTCTGCCAATTTTGCTCATTTATACCTATTTAACACACTCTTTTTTTCAAATTGTTTCATTTCTCAATGCAAGAAAGAGCTAACTGCTTCTCCAATATAATATTCAACCAATAAACTTCAAGGAGACAACCCAAGCTATTTACATAATAAGTCCTAGTTTACCATATGTTTAAAAAGAAGCAGAGGTTGATTCAAATAAAATAACATGTAATTGGCACAAATTGGAAGATTTTTAAAATCAAAACTACACAAATTACAGAATGTAATATCTGCAATATTCATGTAAGCAACTAAGGCCTACCTGTGGTGTAATGGTCAGCATGCTCACCTCACAAGCGAGCAGACCCGGGTTAATTGATAAGTGGACCGTATTCTGGGGTAATGGCGAGTTGTCCGGTTTTCTTGGGCTGTTCCTTGACACTGGGTCATGCAGCTCATTAACTCAGGGTGTGATTGTTGTTGGAGACAGCTTCTACACCTTAAACAAATTCATCCCTAGGTGGCCCTTGGGCCGGCCATCCTTGTTACATGAGGGGCAACCAATGCCAAGAGGTATCAGAACCAGGCACTTTACTCCCACCGACATAAGAACTATAATTGCCCCTATACTGTATTCTAGATATTCAAACCTGCAATATCACATAACTGTGGATTAGAATGGCAAATGATACACTCCATAAGTTTCAAGTACAGTACTTGAATGTTATTTTTCCTGCACCAAGAAACATAAGATCTGAAGTAAGCTGTTCAGTACTGTGCCAATACATGTTAATTGATAAGCATATTACTCAAAACATTTTATAAAGCTACAGAAAGACAGAGGACTGAATCACATCTGAATTTAGCATTTGAAAAGCTGCCAGCCTGCTCAATCCTTACATTGACAACGTTCCCCCAATGTTCAATACCTGGCCGTAAGTCTCCCTCCAGGGCTTCCGGGATGCTGAAGGAATACAATTCGACAACAGTTCCATCAAATGAACAATTAGCACTAAGTTTGAATACCTTAAGGGGCATACCGGAAAGGCTATTACCACCAGACTCACCCTCCCACCAGTATATATGAGGATATCCAATCATACAGCCAAATATAGTGCTTAGGTTAAGATCATCAGGCAACTTTATTTGTACTGCTTTAATTACTCCACCATTGCCAGCTGTACCTGCACGATTAGAGTGAGAGGCACCATCAACTCCATTTTGGGGGTGAGTACCCACAGAGCCTAATGGTGAATTTTCTTCATCATCTGCAGTAGCATTACCTAGCTGGGCAATGATGGAATTAAGATGTGTACGGAGCTCCTGGTGATTTTCATTACTGGCAACTTTAGGTGTAGCACTGCTTATATCAATTAACCAAGTTGGAGTACTGCCTGTGATGCCACTGAGGGTACGGATAACAGCAGCAACATTCACAATAAACACATCGAGACCTAATTCAACCAAAACAAGCTTGGAAACTAACAAGCTCTTTGATTGAGCTTGGTTGAGAAGGGCAAGCAATGCTGAGGTATCTGCAGTACACACATCCCATAAAAGGGATGGCTTTACCCCCTGATCCACTGCAACTAAGAGAGGTGCAACCTCATCACAATACTGAGCTCCACGTCCACCTAAACACTCCCTAAATAATACACGCCACGTTTCCAGAGCCATCTTGAATTTGGTTTTTACATATATTCACATATATTTCTACCAAGTTATACAATGATCCTATGCCATTCGGAAAATTTTATAACTCATTAATTCATACATTATCTGCCTCATGAGCAAATAATATTCATTGTAAATACTTAAATTTTTGTTCAATATTGTACAGCACTACAGTATATAATTATTTTCTCACAAAAGTACCTTACTGTTTACATAGTACATAACACCCAGAAATATTTTTTCCAAAAGAACCGGTAATAATTTCTAAGTTATCACTAATTATGTAAACTAGAAATAATTCTCAAGATGAATAAAGACTATAGAGCATAGTACTGTGTATCATCAGACTGTACACCAATATCTTCTCTGACACATCATGAATTCTGGACACAAATTATTGTTAATATACTGACCCTCCTTTAGACAAATGTATAAAATATTGACTTCAGTACATCGTTTAGCTAACTACCTGGACAGTGTCTTTGCCAGCAGATGGTGAAGGTCTGGAGAATCAGGGTAGTGGTTTAGTGCAACCTCAAATATGGTCATTGACTCTTGGAAACCATTGTTCTCTTCAACTTTTGCTATCCAGTCTTCTGTAACAGGAAATAAGGTTATATTTGTTAAAGGTGAGGGACTGATTCTAAATTCCTCTTTTCTAACTGAGTCGGGATTGGATAACTCATGCTTTGTCAATATATCTTTGTGACTGGACACCCAGGTTCTCAGGACCCCGAACTTGTGACACGTGTAAAAATTTGATAGTGTAAACATTTAAACTAGCATTTACCACAGTTTGGAAGTACAGTATGGGTATAGGAGTGGGGTGAGCATCTCCCGAACGTGAGTTTTCATGTGCATGCTCCGTGTGAACAGACCAAAAAAACTTCATTAATTTCTAAACTGCGCAGGCCAATACTATCGGGGGGAAAAATGCTCGTGTGAAGTGGGCGTTATATCTGGGATATGAAAGAAACGAAAGAAAGCGAAAGTCATTGTTTTCATGATTTTATCCCACTTTCCACTGTACAGTAATATGTATGTCATTTCAGCCAAAATATTACATTTCCATATTTATTTCTGAGAATATATTCATTCAGTCACAGTTAAGGTAAAATATACTTGTGATGTAATATTTTAATGAAAATACGGTATCGTAGTTTTCTTTTGTATCAAATTTAATTAACAAAGATTGATGTTTCAAATGTAATGAAAAAAAATTTATGTACAGTATCTATAAATACACTTTAATAAATGAATACTTTGTTTTACATCGTCCTGTGCTACCATACCATGGATTTGGCTACTTTGGGCTTGCTATGATGACGCAAGAGATCTGCCCTGGCAACTGTACCGACACTCACAGCTGGTGGTGCGTTGGTGCATCGTTTCCATTGTTTACTGATAGTTACTGGTAAATACTTTTCAACCTAACAAAACTATTACCCTTTTAGAGGTCGACCCCCAATTTTTTGCAAAATAATTTGGTCTTAAAAACTCGAACTACACACAGGTATATACGGTAAATAAGGACATGGGGGGCCAGGGGTTTTTTTTTGGGGGCAGCAAAAGTACACGGATTTTTAACATTCACGGGTATCTCTGTCACCTAACCCCCGCGTATGTTAAGGGCCGACTGTACTGCTGTAATTTCAATATTCAAAGGGGAATACGGAGAGAGAATTATTTTACATTTGTTATAAAGTAAGTACAGTACTGTAGTGAATATTCCAATATTATTTCTCTGATATCTTTGGGAAACACTGTTTTACTGTATACAGGTACCCTGTATATGTAAATTGAGGATATGAATATTGTACAGGGGGTCCTCATTATCCACGCAAATTGGGACTGGAAAAATGCCTCTGATAACGTATCCACTTAAAAAGGGGAATTAATCCCATATGAAAGAATGGAAATAGGTCAAATTGGCACCATGACATTGTACAGGACACAAAAAAAATTTACATGATGCCTTTCAACAACTATTTACCTCTGTAACATTTGTTAAACATCTGATAACACAATATTTTCAGCAATTATTTAACTTTATAAGTTATCTAACATCCTTAAAGTTCATTGGGGTCTTTGTATGTTCAGGCAACGTAGGCTGTGCCAACGACCCAGTGGTCTGCAGCAATTGTTGCTGGTGCACACTCACTCAAATGGTTCATTGACACAAAATACTTATTAAACTGTTTTAAATATAAATAATTTTAACATAATAAAATATTTTAATTTACTTAGCTTTAAAGGTACAGATGTTTGGCTTAATTGGATTGATGGAGGTGGGTGTTGGGGGATGGAGGATTAGTCGGAGGATGAAAAAGAAACAGGACGAGGTGGATTGTCCACTCCCACTCTTCTTTCACCTAATCACTTCTTATTTTACATCTATACTATAGCTAGTGTGCATCCCTTTGAGCGCTGCACCACCCTGCTTGGGTTGGGAACTCATGGCCATGAAAATTATAAAATAATTCACCACATCATGCATGAAAAGACAACAAAGGCAGGAGAAAACACAACACGACACTGGTCAGGACAAAACAAAGTGGGAGATTGGTGTGGGGACACCGGATATGTGTATGCATGCATGATGCCAGGAGGAGGAGGAGGATATTTCAAATGCTTCAGCTAAGAATCCATAGATTTTTTGGGGAGTTTTAAATCCGTAGATGTTATCCGGAGTTTTCAGAGTTTTTGAGTGGAATCCACTTAAATGTGGGGACTTTTTACGTGGCTGGTCACAAAAAGTTGACTGCGAAACCACAGATACTGAATACTCTTATAACGAGGACCTCTTGTATATAATTCTGTATATTGTCTAAACTCTTTCCCATAACTTTCAAAATTAATATTGAAAAACTATCCAAAACTATTCCCCCTCCAGGGATGGCCCAAAGTGGTTGTGATGTGGGGGTGGGGGTACCAGCTCACCAATCAGCCTATCAAATTTGACCAACTAATGAGGATTAAAAAAAATGTTTTTGTGACATAGTCCAGAATGCAACGTCTTGCTTTACTCACAGAATTTGTAATTCAACTGTTAAACAGAGGTGTGATAGAACTGTTGCAGTCAGAGAAATGTTTCATGTCTCGCCTATTCCTAGTCCCCAAGAAAGGCAGCGACAAATTGAGGCGGATTTTAGATCCTTTCGTCCTGAACAAGTTCATTACCAAAATAATGAACAAGTTCATTACCAAAACAAGTTTCAAGATGCTCACTTACGATCATCTGAGGCATCTACTTCCGCCCAATGCTTGGATCTCAAAAGTGGATCTCGAAGATGCCTATTATCATGTGCCTGTTGCTCCCAGGTACAGAAAGTTTTGAGTGTTCACAGTGGGGGATGTAAGTTATCAATTCACAGTGATGCCATTCGGCCTGACAATTGCACCAAAAGTGTTTACAAAACTGGCAAACATCCCCAAAGAGATCCTTGCAAAGGAGGGCATAAGAACTTTTGCTTATCTAGATGATTGGCTGATAGTGGGAACTCTTTCGAAGATTATCAAAGGGCAACCCAATGTACACTAGAACTATTTCAAAACCTAGAATTAAAGATAAACCAGGTCAAATCAAATCTCAAACCATGTCAGAAATTGGATTGGTTATGTCTCCATTGGGACACCAATCAGCAGTCAGTCAGTCTACCAGAAGCAAAAGTAACAGATGTGATAAACCAAGAAGAAGTCTTTTGTGTAAAGCAAGAGGTTTCTTGGAACGATTGGGAAAAAACTACTGGGTCTGTTGAATTTTGCCACCATAGTAGTTCCTTTGGGTAAGTTAAGGAAGAAGAAACTAACTCATCTGGGGTCGAATTTGCTTCACAGAAACAGAAATACTGCTTCTTCTCTCCCTATTCAGATCAAGAATCATCTGTCACGGTGGAAAAATTTGGACAATCTAATCGGTTCATCTCCCTGGGTTCCCCCTCAAACAGACTTGGTCGTTTGTACGGACGCGTCCGAAATAGGATGGGGATACCATTCCTCAAAAGGAGAGTTCCGTCAAGGGAAGTGGAGTAACTCCCTTTGGGACAAACACAAACGTAAAAGAATTAGCAGTAGACCTATTCTTTTTGTTGGCAAACCCAAATTTCAAAAACATGACAATTCTGTTTGCCATGGACAACAGAGCAGCAGTGTTTTGTCTCAATCATCAAGGCTCAACCAGATCTTGGCCCCTTCTAAACTTATCAGAAAATTTTTTCAAAGTTTGCGTAACACAAACACTTTACCCCAAAGCAACTCACATACCGGGAGTACAAAACAATTGGGCAGATGCATTGTCCCGTCTCAGGCCAGTATCGATGGAAACAGAATGGTCCCTAAAGATATCGAAGTTCAAGGGTCTAGTGAGGAGGCTTGGGACTCCACAAATAAATCTCTTTGCCTCACAAAACAATCACAAGATGCCAATTCATGCATCTCTGGAAAGATCGAATCTTTTAGGAAATGCTCAACTCATAGATTGGAGCCATTGGAATTAAATCTATCTGTTCCCACCTGTGAAAATGTTGCCCAAAGTGGTTCACAAACCCAGATCCATCCAAGGGAAGGTCCTCTTAATTGCACCATACTGGATCCTACAACTGTGGTGTCTCGATCTGTTGGACTGGTGCCAGCATCCACTACAATTGCAACAGGGATATCTAGAACAGGTACTGCACCCTCAATTCGAGATATCCTTGGCACTTCACGCTTGGAGTTTCTCGAAAGATGTTTAAATAGAGTGTTGGGTAATTCCAATATAGTTAACCAAGTGATAGCAGGTCATAGACCCCAAACTTCTATGCAATATGAGAAAGTTTGGAAACTTTTTCAACAATTTATCAGGTTAACGACTCCAAATCACATTGCCGGAAACAGTGGTAATAGAATTTTTAGATTTTCTGTTCAGAGTTAAAGGCCTTCAAGGATCGACAATTGCATCTAACAAATCAGCATTGGTTGACCCTCTGGCATGGGGTTTTAATATTACTTTGAACCCAAGAATTTACCAAATGCTCAGATCGTCCTTTTTCATTCAGAGACCCCCTTGGCCTAAGAAAATCCCACCTTGGTCTCTCGATAAGTATACTAAATTTCTTATGGGGCCTAATTACAATATAAATTTGAACAAGGACAGATTGCTCCAGAAGGCAGCCTTCCTTCTAGCAATAGCAACAGGTATGAGAATCAGTAAGCTGATTTCAATTTCCAATAATCCATCATTATTGGTATTTTCTGAGGAAGATGCCACCCTTTTTCCTATGGAGATCCTAAGAAAAAATGAAAGGGAGGATTTTTGAGCTCAACCTATCAGGAATCTTCAAGAATGGTTAACCAGATTCCCTAATCGAGGCCCCAATGTATTCTCATCACAGGATGGTAAGAAATTGTCTCCTAGTCAAATGACAAAATATTTATCTCAGTTAGTGAGTAAAACAGACCCTGGCAAGAAAGTTTTGGCACATGATGCTAGGAAATATACAGGGTCTGTAGCCTTTCTGTGGCATATGAGTCTCAGTCTGATCAAAGAAGTGGGCTTTTGGAGATCTTCAAAAACTTTTAAAAACAGCTATCTTCATCTATCTCTGAAAGATACTTCACATGTGGTGGTGCTGGGGTCCCCTCCCCTACCTAGTCAATCTCCACAGCCAGGACCTTCTTCTTCCTCATCAGAGTAAAGTGAGTATCCTAACTGGGATATGTAAATTAACATTTTACCTTCTGGTAAATGTTCCTAATACTGAAAAATATTCCAAAAAGTTTATAATTATAATCTGGATCAAAGCTAGCGGAGCCTTATACGCAAAGTCACCTCCAAGGGAGTAGAAGCCTGAAGAGTCAGTGGTTTATGTCATCAAGTTATTGGAAGCTCCAACAACTCCCTGAATACGAATTCGCAACTTTCGACTTACAACAGGTACCTACTTTACTGCTAGGTGAACAGGGACTAATGGGGGCTAGGAAGTAAGTCCAAACAACTTCCACCGGCCCCCGGGAATCGATCCCGTGACATCTCGCTTGTGAGGCAAGAACGGTACCGCTTCTACCACCGCCCTTAACTCGTGAAACATAAAGGCAGGCATGAACTTAGCATGCTTCCCTGTTGGGTGCTGTAAACACTTCTGCGCTTCACCTTACACAAGGATGTAGGGGGGTGCCCAATACATATAAAAAAAAAAAGTCACCTCCCTCTCCACCTCCTGCTCGGGTAATCAAAGCTAGATGTCGCATTCTGGATTGAACAAAAAGCCGTTTTTTTTCTAAAAACCTCTAACTGATCAGTTATGTCATTTTCACAAGCTATGATAATAAGATTATGCAACCGCTTTTCTAAGGTTCTGTTTCGCAGGGATGTTTTCAAAAGCTTAAGCCTGCAAAAAACTTTCTCTTTCACATAATGAAGGTGGTACTGTCAAGAATAGCCTGAAAACTTTTGCCACATGAGAAAATAAATTTTATTTTCTATGAGCATTCAGTGCACATTGTGCAGCTGAGTAAATTATTTTCTACATTAGGATGCTGCTCCATATAATCAGAAAAATTAATGTTGAACACTTCTAATTCAACTAGAAAAATTTAGTGTTAAGTATTTCAGATGGATAGGTTTCCAACAGATTTTTCATGGATTCAATAAAACTTTGTCAGAGTCTGCAGCATTAGGATCAAGAACATCCGCAAAAATATTTGAATGAAGATTTCAGATTTTCACATTTTGAAGTCAACATAGGAATCACCACATCTAAAACTGCTTTCATTTCCTTACAATAATAGGGAACAAATTACAGTACTATATTGATCACGAGAGTTTGGATTATCATCAATTTTGTTTTGGCTGTTTCTTTTGACAGTGCACTCTCTAACTCTTCTTCTCCATCAACATCAAAATTTTTTGTAAATGTTTACGAGCCTCATCATCACTTCGTATTGACAAATATTTTCAATGTACTTTTCATACAGATAAGAGCTCCATGATCTGCTGTGTTACCTCTTGCTACCAGTGTGTGTGTGTTTTGTCCCTTCTTAACCATCTCCCTGAATTCTTGAAATCATTGCGACCAACTTCTGGCAAATTGACCAATCATTGGGGGGGATGAACCCCCCCCTTTTTACTTCAATTTATTAACAGTGAAATAAAATACCTGTAGCTACAGTATATATTTTTGAAATTATCAAAACAGAGCAGTCTGCCAAACATCATACAAGTAAGCTTCTAAATGCAAAAATAGCTTACTGTAATAAAATTACTCAAATATACATCAGCCTCCTTTTCCAATTTAGAAAATAAATATACTGACCAAAAACTTCCAAGTAGGTAGTGTAGTACTGAGTCTTGAGGTGTGGCAGAATGCACAGTGCCAGAGACAAGTGTGAGAAGCTTCGACCAATATCCCCTCTCTGCTGACACCACTCAAACTCCTGAAGATGACGCTGTGCAACCTGTGGGGTGGCATGAGCTCACTGTTTAGAAATTAATTAAACTTCAACTTAGAAAACTATTCTTATGATCTGTATAGATACTGTGCTTTCACCATTCTGTAAAATGTGTAAAGACTGAAACAACGCACTCGTATAAGTAACACATAAGAAAGAAGGTTCACTGGGAAAAAATATTGTTACAAAAGAAACAAGCTACAGTAGATACAAATACAGTACAGGTATCCCTGCTGTATGAATGTTTGAGATATGAAAATTCACTTCTACATGATCATTTACTTAGCGATATTTAAGTTTAGCGATTTAAAGATTTTAACTCCCTTTCAAATTCAAAAATCGTTAATTTTTGGTTTAGTGATCTTTGACTCGCTGGGAAAAATTCTGTAGGGAAGTCGGAAAAACTGGGGATTTTGTGCTCCAATTGCTTTTATAAATAAAGAAAATACTGTGGTGTTTATACTGTACTGTATATGGTACAGCAGTCCTATACAGTGTTGTATGGTACAGTACCGTATATAGTATATGTTGTATGGATTTTGGCTTAATTTGCAATTTTATTTTTATTTTTTCAACAAATTAAATGATTTGAATTCGGAATGAATTCGTAATAATTGAGTGGTTCCGAAAAGTCGCCCTGGCTACCACAAAAAATATTTTATTTATAATTACTGTGCAAATAAACATTTTTTTAAATGTACAAACAGTAATAATAAAGTAAATACTGTAGTGCTGTACAGTAATAAATAAATGTAACATATTGCGAAGTGAGCTGTTAATATGCAGATGACAGTGTATTCTGAAAGTGTAATGGTCACATTGTAAATGAAGTAAAAACCCACACTGGAGAAATAAAAGATAAAATCTTGGAGCTGGTATACTAGGACCCTCTTCAGCCAACTATCAAAACAAAGCAAGGGAGAAAGACATTGAACAAAGGAATCAGGTTACATAACCTATCCCCTCTTCTTGATGACAGCATTCAGGATCAGGTCAGTGGGTTTTTACATCATTTACCCTGTGTGACCATTACATGTTTGGAATGTCATCTACATATTATCAGCTTACCTCACAATGTAAGTGTTCCATTTATTAATTGCTGCATTATTTACTTTCTTACTACTGTTTGTGCATTAAAAAATATTACAGTATTACCCCGCTTTACGCGGTTTCACTTTCCGCGATTTCTCATTTATGCGGTGCCTCGCCAGAACCGAACTTTCACTTTCCGCGGTGCATCTACTCATATACGCGGGAAGCGGTACGGGCAGGATGCGCACAAGGTCGCCCAGTCATCAAAACATTACTGAGTTCTTCACCCGCCACCCACCACAGCCGGCCTAAGTCAGTGATAGTGATAGTGAGGATATGGACTTATATGGACTTTGAGGGGTTTGACAAAGAGGCCCTGCAAGCCTATGTGGTGGATAGTGATACAATTGATACAAGTGATACAGGTGAGGGCCAATAATCTGCCCTCTGCCTCGGAACCAACCCCCCATCCCTGTGTGCCCAGCCATCTTTTCTACTAATATAAGTGTTAAAAAAACTAATATTATTGATATTTCTCTAAATTATTAATTGTGTGTGCATACCATCATAAAATTAAGATGTAATTTTTACTACAACGTAGGTATTGTGTCTGAAAAATTGGAGTTTGGGGGTCGGGCCAGTCTCTATTGGAATTAATCCCATATGTTCTGCTGTTCACTTTACGCGGTTTTCACTTTCCGCGGTACCCCATGGGTTCAATTGACCGCGTAAATCGGGGTACTACTGTATTTGTTTGAACAGTAATTACAAATAGAATATTTTATGTAGCAGCCAAGGCATAGTAACTGAGTATGTTTGTTGGCTGAAATAATGAGGACAACCTGAATAAGATGCAAAACCTGAATGGAAAACAAACAAATAATTGAACACATAAATTTGGAAACTGTTGAATAATGTTAACCTGTAAACTGGTCATTAACATTCAAGTACGTGATCACCGATGTTACTATCTCTGGTCATTCACATACTAGAATATTTTCTAAGTATACTTTTCCTGTGTCTTTGAAACTGATTCTAGCTGCCATAATTTGTTGGCTGGTAGTCTGGCATCTAATTTAAACTTTTCCTGCCACTTGGCATTGAGGACCCTCCCCCCCCCTCCCCCCTCGTTTAGTGATCCTTTCACTTAATGACTGGTTTTCAGGAATATTTGTACATCCCAATCGCTAAATGAGGCATACCTGTATGAACTTCCTAAATTACCACCTCTTTTTCGAGTTACAATAACTTCCCCCACCAACACGAATTTGGGTCCCGGCAAAAATTCAGATTGTGCACCTCCTCGAGTCAGCTGGGCCAACTACATTCCCCTAGCGCCCTCCCTACCAGGCTGAGGTAGGAGTTATGTTATGGCTATTTTTCAACTCGTAATTTTGGGTAGATAAACATAACTTCCTTCATATTCCCCCCCCCCCCATTAAATGCACACACAACTCAACATACAGAATGTGAAAGAAAAAAAAGTTATTATAAAGTAAAAAATATAAAGAGAATAAACACTTGTTTGTGAGCCAGCTTGAGTCAGGAGGTTGAGCAGGGAGGTTATGTTATGGTTATTATTCAACTTGTAACTTGGGGAAGATACTTAATTTTTTTTTTTACTCAGTTTCAGGCACACACATTTCTTAATACATAATTTGCCCCCTCCCCTAGACAACATTACAGTAAATAGTAACTATTAGAAGTTCCCTTTTCTACAAAGAGGCATTCTGTATCTCCATTTCAACAGAAAAGTATTACTGTTATTTGTCAATTTTATGACATAAAATTACAGAAATAAAGAATCCCCATACAGTATTACACTTAATAAACAAAATTAAAAAATCCGAATTACTCAAGTATTGTATCTTCCACTGAAAACAAAGCAATTATTTCAGAGCTTAATTACATTACTTTTAAGTCAAGTAATAAACAAGTGCAAAAAAAAAAAAAAAAATTGATGGGTATAAACCCACTAAAAAGAGAGGTACAGGTAGCTATTGCAAAAAGACTGTAAATCCTACAAGATAGAAGGAATGTCCCAAAGTGAGAAACAATATTTGCTAGCTGTCTAAAGAGTCAACTAACCTGTGATCCAGTCACAAGACTTGCCTTAGTCTTGCCGTTGATAGCACCTTGGGCAGTGGGTCTTCCTGACATACTTTTCTTAACTAAACAATAGTATACCGGTGTGTCTGGTGGAGATTGCCCAGAAACTGCAATTGAAAGAAGAATTACATACACACAATATATATATATATACAGTGACCCCTCGTTTAACGAACGCCTCGGTTAACGAAATTTCGGTTAACGAACTGCCTTCCATAAGGATCTTCAATTCGGTTAACGAACAAAAATTCGGTTAACGAATTTCTTACGAACCGACCTCAACATGTTTTCGCTTGCACTGACCGGGCAACCAGCTTTAGTATCAGTCCGCCAATACATTAATTGGTTCTAGGGCTTAAATTCCTTACTATTTTAGTAAATATCAATTAGTTTATACTATTCAATAATTTTAAAAGTTTAATATTCAAATTTTTAGTCATTTTAACAATTATTGAACATAATTGAAGGTAAAGTGACTAGTTTAATGCGCGGCATCCAGCCTCTTGACACAGCAAACAGGCGTTAGTCTCTCTCAGTTTTTGTTAAATATTTTAAATTGAGCAGTGCAGTGTTGATTTAAACCAACCAAAACCCCCATTCTAAATCCCATTGGAAATACATGTAAGTAAACTTCTTCCATCGGTTGGAATTTTTTTCGGAACGGGATTGAGTTCGTTAACCGAGGGGTCACTGTATGTGTGTGTGTGTATATATATATATATATATATATATATATATATATATATATATATATATATATATATATATATATATATATATATATATATATATATATATATATATATATATATATACAGTGGTCCCTCCGTTAACAAGCACAATCCGTTCCAGCAGGTTGCTCGTTAACCGAAAAACTCGTTAACCGAAACCATTGTTTCAATGGGTTTTTGGGTAATTGGTTCCAGCTCACCGAAAATTTCCTAAATTCAACAAAAATGGAAGAAAAGTTTACTTACTTTGAGGTGTGTATGTAGAAGGCTCCTGGATGATGATGATGATGATGATGGGAATTAGAATGGGGGTGGAGGAGAAGGAAGAAGAGAAGGCATTGGGGTGGAAGAGAAGTCACCCCATGGCACCATTTCACCCATAAAATTTTAGCTCTCTTGGTGTAATTCAAGATTATTTTCTTTAAATCAACACTGCACTGCATTATATATTGTCAATATGTAAAATATATTTCAAAATGCACCAATATATTGTCAATATGCAAAATGACCAATAATTTGCTTAAAACACAGAAAAAAAGCGTTTAGTTGAAGAGTCTCAAGCAAGATGTTACCTCCACTGAAAACAGAGAGAGACTAACACCTGTCTGGTGTGTTAACAGGCTGGATGGCACGCCAGAAACTAGTTTCTTTACCTTCAATTATGTTCAATAATTGTTAAAATGACTAAAAAAGTTAATATTAAACTTTTAAAATTATTGAATAGTATAAACTTCTTGATATTGACTAAAATAGTAACGAATTTAAGCCCTAAAACCGATTACTGTATTGGCAGACTAATACTACAGCTGGTGGACCGCCAAATGCAAGCGAAAACATGTTGAAGTCGGCTCGTAAAAAACTCGTTAATCGAGGGATTGCTCATTAACCGAAGTTAAGAATCTTATGGAAGGTAAATCGTTAACCGAAATCTCGTTAACCGAGGGACCACTGTATGTATGTATGTATGTGTATATATATATATATATATATATATATATATATATATATATATATATATATATATATATATATATATATATATATATATATATATATATATATATATATATATATATATATATATATATATCCCTGTATACCAATTACAGTACTGTACAGTATTGTACTGTACTTTGATTTTAAATTGTAAATATGAAGAAAATAAAAATGAGTAGAAAATCAATAATTAGTTTCCAACATATTATAATACAAATAATACAGCAATATGGTAATCTGACAGTCCCATTATGAATAGCCACTATGTACTTTTTTGAATATCTCAAATCTTATAAAAAGGGCAGAATTTGAAGAAAAATAAAGTGGAATACAGTTTTTAAAGGAGTTCAACAGTCTCTGTTTTGAGATAATACTGTCCATTCTGATGATAAACCCTGTAGTAAATAACATTCTCTCTCTTTCATCTTTCATATACAGTACAGGGTGATTCAGCAGAGTACATTAAATTGGAGGATGAAATCCTTGGATAATTCTAAACCACAATGTATCTCTGGTAAAATGTCAGATTCTGCATACGCCCACGTGTTCGTGACAGGTGCGAGCAAATTAAACATAGTCCAGGCATAAAGGAACATGTCAGACAATCAATGGTACAATGTGTACAGGCCTGCATTGAGGCAGAAGGGGGCAACTTTCAACATTTCCTTTAGGTTGTAACAAAGAGGGGCCACACTGTAGAGATCTGTGAATAAATGATTACAAAAACTTACAGGGTGTTTTACTTCAAATTCACTGTCATTAATACAACATTTTAAATGTATTGTAACAGGGAAACTATGCAGAATCTGACATTTTACCATAGAGACATTGTGGTTTAGAATTATCCAAGGATTTCATCCTCCAATTTAATGTACTCTGTTGAATCACCCTGTATATTATATACCTGTACTGTATTGTGATGGTAGGACTCTTTTCTTAACATAATTTTATTTTCAAAATAAAAGTATGACAAACACAAGAGAATAAGGTGCTACTGTGCTACATAGCATAATTCATTATCCAAGTAATTTGTCTAATGGTAGACCCTGCTGGCATATGGCATCACAAAAATTGTGACCAAGTCCCAGGTTGCTGATCTGACTCTGCTTCATTTACACACAATTGCAGGGTCTCAATTGTTTCTCGTATTATTGACAACACAACATTCATATATCGTTTCTCACTATTGATCTTTTTTAATTGTTGTATTTCTTTATGGTTCTTTTTTATTATTATTATTATTATTATTATTATTACCATTAGTGTTGTTATTGTTATTATTATTTTATTTTTTATTTATTATGTTTTATTTACTATGAACTAATTATTATTACTACTACATTTTCGCCCCCCAGGTCCCGATGTGGGTCAGTGACCTGTGCCCCGGTGGGCTAATCCCCATAAAAAAAAAAGGTAAAAAAAAAATGAATAAAAAAATAAAAATAATAATAAATAATAAAAAAAATATTCAAATAAAATTTATTTTCTTACTATATTTTCATTAGTGAGATCTGATTTAATATTAATTTCTTGAGTAAATTTTTCATTTGGTAGAAAATTAGGCACCTCGGTGGGAGAGTACAGTACTACTGTACTGTACTTTGTCTTTCTCAGCAGTGATGCCGCATCCCGGACGTAAATAACCAACCAAATTTATGTACTTCAAAACATTCCACTGCACTCTCTGCCATTCTCCGATTGACAACTATGCTCAGTGTGTGTTTATGAGCCATTCTGTCCGGGGGGCTGCTCTCACGTCCACAAGGAACGTAAAATTACACCATATTATACTAAGCTCTTTCTGTTTAATATGCTGGGGGTCTGGGGGGTGGAGCCCCATGGCTAGGATGTTAGGTATGTTTCTTTGGTTAGGTTGATGAGGTCTTTTAATAATGCTTCTGCTGCTTGTTTTTCTTATTGACAAGGTTAGGTTAGGTTTAATTTAGAAATAATCACTTTTTTACACATTTACCCAACTACGACAGTGTTCACTACAAAACACGGTAAATCCTGACAAGTTGCCACTACTGTACAGTATATGAAATCGAAGTTAAAACTATGTTTTCCTGAAGGTTTTTGGTGTGTTATGAGCAAATTTGACCTTCATTTCTGAGCGCAAATCAATAGCTTCTGATATAAGACCCCCTCCCATCTCAGAACCTAGAGATTTGCCATAAAAATTAAGGTAGAAAGTGTTCAAAACAAATAAAAAATATCGGGAAAAGTCTTGAATCTAAACTAATCTAACCAACTTACCTAACTGGGGGCCTCCACAGTTGTTCGATGTTCTGGGTGTGTAACGCCACATATGAACATACTTAATAAGATGTTAAATATCTTGCATAAACGCAATTAAAGCCAGTAATGCCGGCAGATTTTTACAAGTTGCCCATATTCTACTGAAACATTTAGTTTAGTTTAAGCTAGGCCCACCAGGGATCCTGGGGTGGAGCTCCCAGCTAGGGGTTAGGTTAAGCTCTCCCCCATTATTGTAGGAGGGAGGGGGGCCCAAAAGCGAGCAATTACCGCCAAAAATGAAGGTCAGATTCGTTTAAAATACACCAAAATACGGTCAATTTATAGTGTCACACCGATCTTTATTTTGATATAAAAATGGGTTTTCCTATGTACAGCTCCTCCCCGACTTACGACCTACTCGACTTACGACCACCCGCACTTACGACCTGCCTCATTCGTACCAAAATTTTGTAAAATTACGTATTTTCGAGTCCCAACATCAGTACACAGAGAAAATTTTCGTTTGAAATTCACTTTAAAATAGCCAGCAAGCTTAAAAGTGAGAGTTTTGTGGTGCTGAGAAGAAAAAAGAGACACCCATTTCAGATTTTCTATGTACTGTATTATTTAAGCATTTTCGACTTACGACCTGAATTTGGGTCCCTAACCCCGTCATAAGTCAGGGAGGAGCTGTACAGGCATTTTGATGAGTTTCGAACGAATTTGATATTCATTTCCACCAGAAATCACGTGTTTTTTAGATAACCCCCACTCAACAATTATAACGGAAAAAGTTGGATTTTTTTTTTTAATAAATAACAAATTATGGTCTTATTTTACTTTTGAACATAGTGCCCCCGAAAGAAACAAACCACTGAAACATTTAGATCTAGCTATTCTGAGCATTTTGAACCCCATATATACGTGGTGGAAATGGATAATAGCGACACAATTGAATTTAATTGATTTTAAGTAGTTTTAAGTCTTCGTCTCTGTGAGAAGATGTTATCTGCGCATCACGCATGGGCAATGTTGACTGACATCATCATGCCGTGACCAATGAGCTATTGATATCATCACGCAAATTTTTTTCGACCAATCACATTTGATTCTTCTCAAAGGAAGCATCTTGGGTATGATTTTAATTTCATTGACCAGTTTCACAATGGCCGTGGTGGAGGTAGGCTCGATTTGACTTTGTCAAAGTGTTGTTTTTGCCTCCCAACACTACATCAATTATACAGCCAATGGACCAGAATGTGATCAGCAACTTTAAGAAGCTGTACATGAAGAAAATGTTCAGGTGTCATTAGGCAACTTCCACTGATCCTGAACTAACACTGGCACAGTTCTGGAAGACACAGTTTAACATCCTGGAGGCTGTAAAATTGATTGTGTCCTCATGGCAAGAAGTCTCCACTAGAACCCTCAATTCTTCATGGAAAGCACTGTGGCCATCAGTAGTCCATGATTTTGAGGGATTTCAGGATGAAACAGAGTTGCACCAGGAGATTGTGTCCATCGGTCAGTCATTGGGCCTTGAAGTGGAGGAGGATGATGCAGAAGAGCTTGTGATGTCTCATGAATAGGAACTTACTCCTGAAGACTTGCAGCAACTGGATGAGATGTTAGAGGCTACAGTGGTGAGGAGGAAACGGAAAGTGATGACCATATGTCAACTTCAGAGTTGAAAGATGTTGTTGACCACTGGGAGAAGTTCAGGAAACTGGCTTCAAGGCACCCAGATGTGGAAAATTTTTTACTAGCTTTGTGTCATGTTGAGGACAAAGTGGTCTCCTTCAAACATCAGTTAATGATGAGGAGAGATGCCCCACAGACAAAAATTGACAGTTTCTTCAGTAAAAGGTGGCAGGAACAAGATGCTAGCCCTCAGCCCACCACTTCAAGAAGGAGAGAGGATGTTCCTGGTGGGAAATCTGTCAGTCCAGAGGTTCCTGACATTTTCATGGAAGGTGACTCACCTTCCAAGAAGCAGTAAAATGCTTCTCCTCCACCTCCACTTCCTTTTGTTCTCCCTTCTCCTCCTCCACCTCCCACTTCAAATTCACATCAGCATCATCATCCAGGAGCCTTCTACATACACACCTCAAAGTAAGTGTACTTTACTACCTTTTTTGTTGACTCGAGACAATTTTCGGTGAGCTGGAACCAATTACCCAAAAACCCATTGAAACAACGGTTAACGAGCAACCTTCTGGAACGAATTGTGCTCGTTAACCGAGGGACCACTGTAATACCCGTCGTCGAGGGAGAACGGTAATATACGTCCTCCCTCGAGGAAAGACAGAACCATCCATGATGGCTCTTAATAATGTCTTCCTCTCGTCAAGGATATCAAACTACTGCCGCAAGAGGTGGCCAGAAAGCCGGCTACTTAATGCCTTAGCTCAGCACTAAGTGACACGACTTCCAGTGGACAAACTTTATCACGTGCTCCGAACATGCTACCTCATAGCTAGTGGAAAGTTACAGAGGGTGATAGAGTATATAAATCAAATGTAATTAAACCATTTATATAATACTCATGCCTATAAGACAGGGGCTATTACATCGCTCGGTCACATCATCCAAGCTCCGCGAGGAATAAACTAAACTCGCAGAAAAACCCTATACATAAACCTAACCATTTTACATGCATGTGTGTAAACACTAAACTGGGGAAGCTGACACCTGCGGTTGAACAGCTACTCAAGCCCTAGTCTGCAATGCCTTATTGAGAGTACTGTATATTATGTACACTGGCAAAATTGGATGATTCTGACTTAAAAGACAAAAATATTACTGTATAACTGTCACATTTGCAGTTTAAAAAGATGTGTCTATGACATCATTAAAATTATTATAAAACTATCATATTTGTAGTTTGATAAGATATGTCTATGACACCATTAAAATAATTAACATTATTATCCTTCCTTCACGCGAAGCTCTCTCGGTTCGGCGCGCTGCCCTCACTCGTGGAATGTCACAGCATCCCCAAGCCAGTTTGTGTTACGACTTCACAACATTCATGCGTGCTTAAGTGCTTTTGCTCTAAAACTGTACTCTAACCATTCAAAATAGCTTCCAAGCGCCCATCAAGTGCTATTGATGCTCGTGTAGTGAAGAGGCAACGTAAGACCATTACCCTTGCTGCGAAAATGGATGTAAGAACCCGATTTGAAAAGGTGGAACGTGCTGTGGACAAAGCCGCTGTGCTTGGTCTAACCCCCACAACGGTGCGTACTATCCGGACCAACGCTGACAAGATTAAGGTTAGTGCTGGAAATGGTTCTTCTCCGAGTGCTACTAAGACAACTCGTACTAGAAGCACTGTGATAGAGGTGGAAAAGATGCTGGCAATATGGATGGAGGACCAGAATCAACGCAATGCCCCTGTGAGCCTTATGGTTAACCAGCATAAGGCCAGATCCTTGTTTGACGACATGAAGGAAACAGAGGGTGAAGGATCGAAGGAAGAGACCTTTACGGACAGCCGAGGCTAGTTTCAACGATTTAAGCACTGGTATAACTTCCACAACATAAAGATGACTGGTGAAGCTGCCAGTTCAGATACGGTTGCTACCGAGACATTCCACCAACACCGGAGGACCAAACAATCAACGGAGGATGAACAAGCATCAACAGAGGATGAGCAAACATCAACGGAGGAGGAGCAAGCAGCGGTGCAGGAACCCCAGTCAAACACCATGCGATCGAAAAAATGCTATAGTTTCTTCGTTTTTTCCCCCAAAAAACTCGCAATCTGCTCCATACAATTTAAGTGACACCCATCGCAGACTTCCATGGTCGGAACTGAATTTGAATTTCAAAATATGAGACCCAAAATAAAACTTGAATTTGATTGGGCCAAAAATACCGCAAATTAAACCCAAAATCATTTTAATTGGTTGCAAAAACAAAAACGCTTTTGATTGGCCACATGACGTGTACGGGAACGCATGCGCGTGATGATTTATGAAGAAGAGACACAGTGTGGGAGGTGAGGTAGGCGATAATGGCGCAAGATTAATTGAAGAAAATAGAAAAAATTTTGGATACGCTTCTCCGTTATTACACATTTCCGCCGGTAATGTAATAGATGAAAATCATCTTATAATTAGACGTCTTATTCGAATATGATAATAGATTAGTGCTAGGAATGTGTGGTGTGTAAATGCAAAAAATACCCAAAAACTAACCATTTCCGCCAAAAATGAAGGTCCGATTCGTTTAAAACACACCAAAATACACTGGAAAACATAATGGTCAAACCCTAGGGACTCATGTCCTAAACTAAAAATTTACCTAAATTATATTACAAACCAACCAAGAAAACCTAACCTAACCAGGGGGCTCCACCCCCCTGGACTCAGCATCGGAGGCCTGGAGCGATGCACGAGCAGGGGGTCAGCGGTCCAACGAATTACCCAAAAGTACCCAAAAGTATATTAAATCTGGGTAAAATCTTAACGAATATATGTTTTACATCAATAAAACCTGATTAATAATGTTTTCACTGAAATGTAGTCAAAATAATGAAATAATAAACAGCGAAAAATGCTAAATTCCAAAGAGTCACCTATCCAAAATGGAGATATAATTACCGATGTTTCTGTTACTTTGGGGTATTTAACATAGCCGTAGGATTTACTTTTCGTTAGGTTAGGTTAGCGAAGTGCATCACAATGGGTCTGAGTTATCTCCCTTGTTCACGAACTCTTTGGAATTTATCGCTCGCCAATACTGAAAGTTTTTCGCTGTTTATTATTTCATCTTACAAATTATTTTTACAAAATTACACTAAAAATATTATTAAACATGTTTTGTGTATGTATAACAGATATTCGTTAAGATTTTACCCTTATTTGCTATACTTTTGGGTACTTTTGGGTACTTTTGGGTAATTCATGGCTCCCGGGGGTCAGACCATAAGTAAACAAATCATGGCGATACTTGTGACTGAGCGAAAGTAAAAATCTTGAAAAATTGATATCTCGGTTATCCTTAATTTCCGGTGAAAATATCAGAAGAAAAATGTCTTAGAATTGTGTTAACATTACGAAATACAAATTTTTAATACGGAAATAAAGACCGGTGTGATACTATAAATTCACCCAAAATACAATGGAAAAACTTATTGGTCAACCCCTTGGGACTCATGTCCTAAAAATAAAAACTTACCCTAACCTAACTTGGTAAATGTTTACAAAGTGCCCATTATCTAACAAATTAATGCGATTTTCTCGAAAACGAACCATTTGCTATGGAAACGTTACTAAGAAAAGTTGTTAGAACTGAGGAGATATGATTAGAACCGGACCCAAAAAAAAATATTGTGGGACATTATGGGCAACTTGTAATAAAATACCAAAATGCCATTGAAGAAAAGTGTCTTAGAATTGCCAAATTACTGATTAAAATTATAAAACTCCGGTGATACGTTTAGTGGCAACAAGTGAAATACCCAAAACACAAAATTCCAAAGATTCCCGTGTAACACTTGACCTCAGTACCAGCACCTTGAGAACCACACCGACCCCCACACGAGCGTAAGGCACAGTGTGGGCAGCAGCACTCTATAGGATACATTGTTGCTTCTCACACTAGAACTGATTGTGAACAATGTACAACATTTTAAACACTAATGGTTTCATTCGCCCACTAGCTGTCACAGTGACGGCGACACTCTAACGTACAGTAAACGAGTTACGTTAATTTTGTTTTCACTAAGATTAGGATAATAACAACCTACACTGCACTCTTCACATTAAGCAAATTATCATTAATCACAACTTATTCTGAGTATTCTTTACCTCTCCACAGACTCCACTGTTTAACCCCTGCGGCGAGGTAACTGACCTTACTAAAGATCAACCAAACATGCCGCTTTAACACACTGTAGACAACTAAGTTCCTCCTAATTTCTATTCTTTATTTGCCATTGAATTAAATGTTATTCATATACTTTATAAGCTAATAGCTTATATAAGTTTGTTATAAATTGGGTAAAATGTATTTATACCACTGTCGCTTGGTAGGACTGTACATCGATTACTTTATTTGCAAATACTAAACAAAAACAGCAGTTTTTGACATTCTGTAAGGAAATTTTGATTCAGGTCATAATTTATTTAATGGAGTTACCGTACATGGTGAGTAATAGCATTTACACATGGGGGGGCATAGTGTTGTTCGTTTGTCTCATGGGCGTGAGCATTGTGGGTCATGAACCACAGAGACTCGAACCTGGGTGTTTGTGCTTCATAATAACATTTGTTTCAAGTGTTTTTTTATGGTGTACAGTACAAACTTCTGATTAATCACTTTGTCGAAACTAAGAGCATAGTACAGTAACTGTATATTTACATCATGTAAATGTACATGCATACATGTCATTCAGAAAACATTGTCTTTTTTGCAATTTTGACTTTGTGAAAAAATTATTAGCAAATTACAATTATTTTAATTGAATCATTTTTTATACTAAGTAAGTTCAATTTAACCTTAACTCTGAGTTAATGTAATATGTTGCTTGTGGTGTAATAACGGAACAATATCAGTTCAATAGAAATTTATGTAATAAATATTATACGAGAGTAAAGCTCACGTAATACATTTACTCCACGTTCCCCGGTCCTGTGCATTTGCGTATATAAAATTGCATTATATCCATTAGTGTGCTCCAACAGTTTCGTGCATAACAAGGTTAGTGATTACACTTGAAATAATTATCAAAATACCGCACTTATGTAAGTGACAAGAAAGAAATATAAGCTCGGTACACAGTGCAGTACTCACCAATAGACCTATAATAAATATTCTGTTTTTATACTTTACTGGGTAAGTCAGCAGCTGTTGATGGGCAGCTTTTGTGGCTTTTTTCCATAATTTTATTCTTCTCTATTGTTTTAACTCTCGGAATAAAAATCATTATTACAATTAAAATTTGAAACAAAAGATGGTTAGGTTTAGTGTGTTTGACAAGAACATCTTAGGGAAACTTTATCAATTAGGGGCCTTGTATTAGGAACTGTCAGCACAAAGGAGCCCAACTACTCAACTAAGGAGACCCTGCCCCAAAGCCAAGTCTTACTCGGGTAACTCATAATCATAAGCACTGTTTAACTTATTTGACTTAAGTGGTTTATGAAGCAGGAGTTAAGAAGCCTAATGGTTCACAAGGCTCCGAAGCCCATGGTCGAGGCAGGTGGTGAAGCATCAGACTCCCTCCCGGTGTTCTTCGGGTCGGTCACTGCACAGACGACATGTTCCGCCGAGCCACCCTTCTAGTCCCTCACAAGTAAGAGAATCTCAATCCATTAAATTACTAGCTTACGTTTGGCAGGATACTATAGTTTACGTATCAATAAATGTTAAACTCAGAACCAGTGTGTGTGTGGTGGGATAATAGAGGATAAGATGTTGAAAGTGAAAATGGCTTCCAGTGGCCGGTTAGCATCAGCTGATACAACCAAATGTAAACAAGACGGTAATTAGTATTTCTCCTCGGTGACTTAAAAACTAATATATTAACCTAAACCATGTTTCTTTTGAGCTTGATGCTGTGATGTGTACAAGTCTTTTGGATAAACTAATAATAGAGAATTTATCCAAGTTCCTTACGGTTATTACCAAGGCTGTGGTTATTTGTCCGATCATTGACCACTGCATACACTATTTGTGTGGCATTGATCTAGTTGATGACGCTGATCCAGGATTAATAGTTTTGATCTCTTGCAAACATGTTATGGTTAGGTTAGGTTTGCAAGTGACTGAATACAGTAAGCTTGGAAGGTGTCTTTTAACTCTAAATCAACACAGGCTGGACAAGTAGCGGAAGCTTATAAAGGTCTGTGACCAAACAAAAATATGGTAAATTTTCACTTGGCCTCACTAAACGAAATCGAAGTTGAAACTATGTTTTTAATGTGTTATGGACGAATTTGGATGTTATTTTAGGTTTGGTCATCCTGGGAATTTAGGTTAGGTTAGATCTACAGTAGTTCCTGGGTTGTGGCTTGGTTAGGTGAGGTGGTGGTATCGTTTCGGTCATCCAGTGAATTATAGGATTTTAAGTTACCACTGTCCGAGAGAGCTCCTGTGTGTTGCTCTGACCTTCATTTCTATTGCAAATTACCACTTTTTGTGATTTTCCCCCACCCAAAACCCCTGGTTTTCAATGGGGTCCCCCATTATCGTTGGATAAGAATGGGGGAGCTCAAAAAGTAGTGATTTGCTGTAGAAATGGTCAGAATCGTTCAAGACATACCAAAAACCATCTGAAAAACATATCAACTTCCAGGTAGGTGAATGACAGAAAGGATAATTTTACCTGTTAGGTTAGGTAGGCATGGATATCTAATTACAGGGATGACCTATACTATAATTTTACCCGAATTTGACCTTCATTTATGGCGCAAATCAATAGTTTGAGACAGCCCCCCGTTACATCTCGGCATCTAAGCATTTATAAAAATAAAGATAAAAAGTGTTCAAAAATTATTGGAAAAGGTTTTGAATCTAGCCTAACCGAAAGGTTCCACAATCATTTGATGTTCTGAGTGTGTACTGCCACCTACGAACATACACAATAAAATGTTATATATCTAGCTTATATAGTATATCATTAGGGTAAAGGTGTAGAAGAGGATGACCACCAGAAGGAATTGGTTGAAATTATTTCTACACAAATATCATATTAAACACAAAAATGGAAACGACAATGCATAGAACCTATTAGAACCTGACCTAACATACCCAACCTATGGGTTTGTTGGGTCAGGTTCTATGCATTATCGAGTTAATTTGTGTTAAACAACTTACCTTAATATTGAGGTTGATATAAATCAGCAATCGCGTGGAGGAGTATGTGGAAGTGTTCAACATCATTTATAGGAAACGTCTCTTGAAGAGGGATTCAGCGAGGTAAACAGGCGTAGAGTAATTAAAAATAAAATACTTAAAATCATAATAGAAAGTTGTCGTTTCTTTTAATATACAGTACTTAAAATCATCAAAACAATAAGTACAGCATTGCAAAAATTTAGAAAATCAACCAACAACTTCTGGTGGTTACCCTCTTCTACACCTTTACCATAATTAGAGCCAGAATTATCATTGAAGAAAAGTGTCTTACAATTGTCAAAATTACTGATGGCATCTATAAAATTCCCGAGATTTGTTTAGTGGCAACACGTGAAAGGTACATTTTCATACATAATAGTGTTAAATATTTCACTTGTATGTAATCTGTGCCAGAAATGTCATTGAAGAAAAGTATCTTAGAATTGTCAAAATTACTGATTACTACTATAAAATCCCAAGAATCGTTTAGTGGCAACAATGAAATAATACCAAAATACGGTAATATATGAGAACATCGCTACCTCCAGAAAAAGTTTACAGAATTGTTTAATTTTTTCATGTTATCATTATAGTAAGTATTTAAAGAGGCGGCATTTGCCAGAACCTAATAGAACCTGCCCTAACCAACCAAACAAACCTACCTAACTTCCTACCAGGAAGCTCTGCCCCACCGGACCCCCTGCCATATTAAACAGAAAGTACTGTATTTTGATACCTGGTACTAATGAAAGCAACTTTGTCGATGCATTATTGTGTAATTTTATGTTTTCTGTGGACATGAGAGTACGCTCATACTGAACAGATCAGTTGTAAACAAGAAAGTAAATGACAACATGCTGACTGCAGATTTTCGGAGGAATATTTACAGTAAATAATACATTTTTCACATACAAAGTACGTACTGTGTTTTACACCACAATTTCCCCCCTCCTTCATACCCTTCTAATATAGGTGATTTATGATCATAGATAAAGGAAAAAAATATATAATTAAAATTAAAAGTTGTCGCCTCTTAAAATAATTACTATTGTATAATGGTGAGAACATCTGTGGAAAAAATGAATGAAATTGAACAACTTCAAGTGGTAATACAGTAGTTTCCTCATAAATTACCACAAATAACCAGAGCCTTACTGGCATGGCAGAAAGTAAGTCAGTGAAATTATATAATATAAGGCAGTGTTTTGATTAATTAAGGCTGGTGACACTGATCTTGGTTACACAATCAATCAATATTGACTTGAAGAAAGTGTAAATGTTTATGGTACTGATTTTGTTAACCTTTTCACTCCAGCTGGATAACCATCAATCCATAAAAACTAGGCTTGGTAATATTTGACAAGAGTGGTCTGGCCCTAGCTGCTACCTGAAAAATTTCTTGCATTTTGAGCTGAAAGCTTTTTTACCTTGCAAAATATCCAAAAATGCCCTAGGAATGCATGGAATTCTGTTGATTTGTATGTTGAGAGATAAACAAAAATAGGCAGGGACTATTTGACTAGACATAACGCAGAACTTTCAGAGAGGGCCTCAAGAACAGTATATTCTCATAAATCAAATTTTAGATCAGGTAATGATGACTCACAATAAACAAATAATAGTGTATGACTACAGCCATCCTGATCATAATCCCACAAAGTGGGCTGGGCCTTGAAGTAGATAGAAGTTGTGGCATAAAAAAAAAGACCAAATATTTAAGAGCTGGTACCTGTGTTAACCCTCAAACGTCGGGCTAGGAGAATTTTCACTGCCCCTCACAGATGGGCTAATTTAGAAAATTTAAAACAAATATAATGGAATTGATATATGTACTGTATATCATTCAATTGGATTTGTTATACCGGTATATATTGCAAAAATCACAATAAAAATCTTCCTCTCACACTCCTCTGAGTATAAAAAGGCAGTAAAATAATGGCTATGACGCCATCGAATTTAGCAATGTTGCGGGATCTAGCAGTAATGGCTGCCTCGCTACACGTCGCCCATTTTGTAATCTTTTCCACAAACACCCAGAAGGTAGAAAACCAATAAAAATTTTTATTGTAGTAACCCTAGTAGGCCTAATCCACACATTCTTTGAAATAAAATTTTTATTTTCAGGGCAAACTAAACAAAATAGAATGTTATAACATGAGAGTTGCACATAGTCTCTCCTTGACTTACGACATATGCGACTCATAACAACTCGGACTTACGACGGTTATATTATATTAAAAATATTTTACTTTATTTTCGAGTCCAGACGTTTGGTCGTAACGTCCAAAGACTCTGTACGACAACTACGTCTGGCACGCTGCCGTATGTGTACAGCATCCACGTCATGTTCCGCTCAGTTTGTGTATTAAAAAGGTAAAAGTTTTACAATTATTGCCTGCACTATGTATTATTTTAATCGGTTCGACTTACTACCTGGTTGTCGGAACGGAACCCCGTCATAAGTGGAGGAGAGACTACCATGAAAAGAACAAACGAACGTCCTCTCAATAATATTTTAGTGACACCATGTGTACTGTTATACCATTAATAGAAATAATTTGTTTCTTTCACAATCATATTTACTATATCTGTGGTCATGAATTGCAAAAAATAATCAACATATTCACTCTTCTGGAAGCCGATAATTCTGACACGGGCCTGGTGTCGGTGGATCAAAGTCGGGGATGTTTGGCACAAAATCTCTCCCATCACTCCGAACGAAGGCAAAATTTGTACTAGCTGGTGGTGAATCAGAGTCACTTACTTGAGTACTATCAGGGTCACTTTCCTGGGTAGCAGGCGCAGTCATTGTTCGTGTTGGTGCGTCGCTTGGTATAGAGTGACGTTGCCAAGATTCATTTCCCTCCACCGAGAAATTACTTTTACTGTACAGTATCTTCATTTGGTTTCCACTCATTGTCACCACTAGCATCATCCAATTCTTTCCACCCTTCCCAACTCGAAATCTATTTCTTCAGTAGAAAGGTTTTTCTTCTCTTATATCTCTTTTACGTGATGGCTTGGGCTCTTCGACAGTGGTAACACTGCTGCGCTCACTCTGATACGCTCCCTACTGACTCCCACAAGGGGGGAGGCAGGAGCAGAAGTTGTATCTCCTTCCTCCATGACTCATTGGTTCGCACTGAGGCACACTTTATGGTGATTGGCTTAACCAGTCGGCTTGAGGGGTTGCTGAGGAGACACCTGGCGGGCTAAATGTGAAAATTGTTACTCAGGACTGAAAGATGTCATATGACCACACCCGGCGTTTGTTTTGGGATCATCAAATGACAATAACCGTTGTTTGAGGGTTAAGGAGCTGAGCGAGAAAAGTTTTCAAAAGAATAAAAGTGCATTGGCTCTTCAAGACCATTTCAAAAATGGTGGAGGGAAATTTTTGGGGACCCCCTGGTGTGTAAACGTAACCTAACCCTACAAGACACAAAAAATGAACCTAAAGAACCAAACCCAAATTTGAAGTCAGAAAAAAAATATACAAGTTTCTGATGAAAACACTATACAGTAGACTAATTTTTTTCTCAACGTACATACAAATTAATAGAGGTCTGTGTTTAGTCACTACTGAATATTAACCAACAATTTTCCTAATAGTGGGCAGCAGCAGGTGCGTGGGATGGCCACCCTGAAGGCCATTGCCATGCGCCTGAAATCAGTAAAGAACATCCAGAAGATCACACAGTCCATGAAAATGGTGTCAGCAGCTAAATATGCACGAGCTGAAAAGGAGTTGAAGCCTGCTCGGCCATATGGTGCTGGAACAGCTGCTTTCTATGAGAAGGTATTGATTATTTCCTTCTGTGTAAAGCTGTGTTATCTCTTACCCTTTACAGTACTTATTTTTATTTTTTTACCCAAAATATAAAAGGAATTCTACTTTTGTAATGGAACAGACTTAGTTGAGTACTGTGCTGTATGGGGAGAATTTTATTGATTTAGAATTTAAAGGAGAGAGAGAGAGAGAGAGATTTTTTTTCTCGTGAATTGCAGCAGTGTTAGAAATGGTGTAAAGTTTTCATCTGTAATCTATAAGATAAGCTATGATCTATTTTTGAATATGAGTTTTATTCATACTTTAAATATAGGAAGTGGTATAATATGTATGTATGCATGTAGATTGGTGTGGCTGTCATATTCATAGTATTTATTCATATAAACTGTTACACTGCCTTGTTGTCTATGTGCTCTTAATTTTTGTCTCGTGCTGTTTCATCTTTCTATGGTGCTTTTTTCTCCATTAAATGCTATAGGCAGAAGTAAAGCCTGAGGAGGAAAAACCCAAGCGGTTGATTGTGGCGTGTAGTAGTGATCGTGGCCTGTGTGGAGCCATTCACTCAAACGTCTGCAAGCACATCAAGGCAGAGCTGCTGGCAGATGCCTCCAATGCCGCCATTGTCTGCATTGGTGACAAGTCACGAGCTCAGCTGGCTAGGTCAGTGTGGTATATAATTTTGATTTTAATACTCCGCATACATCTTCTGTGGATTGTGTTAGGAAAAATAAATTTCATACGCAGTATACAGTACCCTGTATTACAATATTTTCTCAGTCAGAAATAGAGTAAGCAGAATATGAAAGAAAATTTAAATTCAGAAATGAGAATGGCACTTTTTTCTTTTTCTTTTTTTTATGTTTAAGGCTGCACATTTTCTACCTTATGTAGATTAGAATTGAATTAGGTTGGTAATAAAAAAAAAGAGGCCATTTTGGGCATCGGAATTTTTTGGGTTATCAATATTTTGAATGTGACAATGTATTGTAACCAGAATGATTAAGGAAGATTTTATGTTCAACATAGGAGTGTTATGCTCTACTGTACTGTAATGTAATGTAGTTTAAGAGGGTCAATAGAAGAAATGTTCAGGTTTAAAAAATGTTTTCTGCTAATTCCAAGTTGCCTTTTGAATGCTGCAGAGGAAAGACACACTCAGGAGGGTAATGATTCTTCTAATTGAGCATCAGTCTGGTACTGCTGCTGGCTACAGTGTAGGATTATGCTAACTGTATAAATAGAGAATTTATGTTACAGTATTTATTGTTGAATAATGCTTAGTAGTGGTTGTCCATAGCTATGTACAGTAAAAATCATTGATTTTATTTTAATTCAATTTTTATTTATATATTTTTTATTAATTATATTCTTCTACTACTACAGGATACTGAATACTGTTCATGTCCTGTCTGTGTACTGTTGGCTCAGATTAAAAGCCACAGCCCAGATACATTCCTGTTCATGTCCTGTCTGTCACTGGTGGTCCAGAGATTTCAGTCTGAGTTGCCGGTGTTCCTAAAGATAGCATATTTCAAAGCTTAATATACGGTACACAGAAAAATCATAATAAACTGATATTATGATGACATGACTTTAAATCCCAGTACAAAGTTATACAAGGATTTTCTTTTATAAACCTTCAAATTTCTTTTTTGGTAATTTTTTTTTTTTTTTGAAAAAAAATCATGATTTTTTCTGCAAAAAAAAAAATCATTGATTTAATCAAGTAATTAAATCAAATTCATTTAATCAATGCCAACCCTGCTGAATACAACTAGAAAGAGGTGGGAAGGAGAGGGATATTGTTAGACAATAAACGCTTTTATAAAATTCAGTGAATATTTAGTGTGTACAGTACTGAAAAAATCATACTGTATTTGTAAAACTAGACTTAATTGTTTCTTGAGCAGTTTTGAAGTTTAGATTTCTAAAATCAGCTGAAAGTACAAGTAATTTAATTACAATAGAGGAATTGTTTATAGAAGTAGCATCTAAGAAGCTGTATTTTCATTTATGTAAACCCTGTAGTAATTTGTTAGTCAAATCCCATACAGGAAAAATATACATTGCCAAAAATTTCTAAAAAGAATAGTGTACTGTATTATGGATTTTGGATAAAATCCCTTAAATTTCATAAGAGTAATTGAATTACCTGTAAAACTTAAGTGTTGCTCTTTTTAACAATGACATCTTATAAAGCTATAAGGGTTGTCTTGTCTTGTCTTCCCCAGCAATAATACTTAGGAGCTGACTCAAGGGTCAGCATAGGTAATAGGCCTTCTTGGCCTATGCCCTTTGGGCTGTGGGACTGAAGTTGTATTGGGGTTAGGAATACAACTTTAACATTATCCTACAGGTCATTGAGGCTGTATAGAATGAGCTAGAGCATTATCTAGTTCGATGAACTCTTGAAATCAAGGTTTTCATCCAAAACGCAGAGTTAACGCTAGCTGAAGACAACTGACAACACTAATGCAACAGTGATGCTAAGCAAACACCTTCCCTTGTTCATAAGTGAATAACTAAACAATAAGTGGGAACTCCCTGTATTTTATTGTACAGTTTGTGTCCTTTTGAGGGAGGCACTTTAAATATGTTTGCATATTGTTTTAATAAATATTTGGCAGCCACAGAAATTAAATGCGTATAGGCTGGATAATTATGGACTAACAATGCTGCTTTTACAGGGTGCTCTCTCAAAATATAATTGCCCAAGTTGGAGAAGTTGGGCGTAAACCTTCCACTTTCGAAGATGCCTCCAGAATTGCTACATTCATCCTAAACTCAGGCTATGACTTTGGCTCTGGCAAACTTGTCTACAACAGGTTTAGGTAAGTAAGAGTAATATTGTCTGATAGTTTGTGGACATATGAAGTCATGATGGTTTTTTTTTGTTCACAAGAAATCTATATTATAACTGTTTGGGACACTGATATAATTTCTATATTACAAATCCTTACACCAACAGGACTGTGGTATCTTACGACACATTGGAGTTGCCTTTCTACTCGGCTTCATCCATCACAAATGCAGAGAAGATCTCTGTGTACGACTCTCTCGATGCTGATGTAATTCAGTCTTATATGGAGTATTCCCTGGCATCTCTTCTTTTCTATGCACTAAAGGAAGGTGCTTGTTCAGAACAGTCCTCAAGAATGACTGCTATGGACAGTGCTAGCAAGAATGCAGGTGAGTTTACCATGATGTTAGCTATACTTTGCCTCAACTTCTCTTTAAGCATGTAACAAGGTTAGCAATTGTATAATAGACTGTACTGGATATAGTTTTAAAGAGCAAGCTGTCTTGAATATTGATTTAGCAAATAATTTGTTTCCTTTTGAATTATTGCCTGAATTTTTAGGAGGGTTTTTATTCTCATTCCCTTTGTCATTTTATAAGCAGCTAAAACACTTGGGCCTTTCCACCAAATGTTTATTCACACCCGTGACTTAGTTGCTTTGAGGTTTTGTACAGTAAGTCCTCTCTTTATGTCATGGATGCCTTCTGAGAAAATACAACTTAATGATATAAATGGAGGAATCATTGCTGGGGGTATTTCTTGGGCAAACTTTGCAAAAAAAATTTATTAAATAACTACAGTCCCAATGTTACACAGTACAGTATTGTAGTAAGCTTAAACAAACAAATATTACCATATAAGTGTACAAAAGAACAGTAAGTCTTGAAGATTTTATTGTAGGTAGTAGGTATCTACCAAACAGGGAGGTACTACTGCCTGGGAAGATATTGGAAGCATAATGTGTTGTCTAATGGTAGACCCTGCTGCCATATGGCATCACGAAAATTGTGACCAAGTCCCAGGTTGCTCATCTGACTTTCTGCTTCATTTACATGCAATTGCAGGGTCTCAATTGTTTCTCTTACCATTGACAACACAACATACATATATCGTTTCTCACTTTTGATCTTTTTTTTGCGTTTTTGTATTTATAGCTCTTTATTATTAATATTATTATTATTTCAGTTACTGTATTATCATTATTTTATTATTTTATTTTTTTTTGTTTTATCATAAAATTTATTTATTATTATTATTATTATTATTATTATTATTATTATTATTGTTATTATTATTACATTTTCGCCCCCCAGGCCCTGATGTGGGTCAGTGACCTGTGTCCGGGTGGGCTTATCCCCGTAAAAAAAAAAATTGGAAGTATACCTCCACTACTGTGTGGTATCTTTACTGTAATACTGTGAACAGGAGCTAGTGTGTGCACCCACTGTCAGCTAATGCATTGTGCTGGATGTCAGGCTGTTGGTAGAGATGCAATCTATTCTAGTTTTATTCTTTATGATGTTTTTTCTCTATTTTCTTTATAATTCTTTTAACTAGAATTCTCGACATATTTATAGATACAGTAAACCCTCAAATGTCCAAACAATTTTGGGGTTCTGGGGAGCACTGTGCACTAAGCAGTCACTTGTTAGCTCCTCAGTGGTCCTTAAATTTGTTTTTTAATGTGCAAAAAATGTCATGTGTGTTTCCTTTAAAAAAAATTCTTTAGTTTGAAGTCAAATTACAAATCATATATTTTTTCTATTTAACATTGACCTATAATATTTTATTTCAAATGATATTTTTTTTCCTTATTTAATTTGCATATTATTTTATTTATGATGAAACATACATCATAAGAGGCTGATATATATATATATATATATATATTAATGAATAAATATAAGCAAATGTGGCAAAGCCAGTGCCCCCCCCCCCCTCCCTGCAATTTTTTGTGCCCATTAGCTCTTGTTAGGCTCATATCAAATCTGATTAGACCACTGTACAGTATCCCCATTAAAGACAATACAGTAATCATGAGCAATTAACTTAAAAATTTAATTGTTAACTTGTAGAAGTTAACATTTAAGTTAATTGTTCCTTGCCTGAATTGGACACTGCAACAAAATTTAAGTAACTGAGAGGCGATAGACAGGCAGCTGCAGTGCCGTCACACCTTTGACAGTCTGTGTAGCTACAAGTACAAACGTGTACTGTAAGGGAAAGCCAACGACATGGATGTTCACTCAATGGGTGCAAGGGTTGGTGTGTTTTATATTACATAATAACTATTTTTTCTAAGGAGATAATTGATAATTAATCAGTCAGTCAATTAAGTTAACTGGTGTTTTAGCTATTTAAATAATAAAGGTAAGATGTTTTATAAAAAAAATTGTTAATGAACTGTACAGTTCATTAAAAGATAATTTATTTTTTATAAACTATATTATTTTATTTATTAAAATATATACTGTATTGTCTTTAATGGGGATACTGTACTCTGGTCTATTGAAATTTGATTAATGCCTAATAACCAGACATGGGGTAATCGTAATCGATTACATTTTTATTTTTGGCAGTTATCGTAATCAATGACATTCAAAATGTAATCGTAATCACAATTACAATAGTACAGTCATCCCTTGGTTATCACGCCTAATTGGGACCGCGCCTAGTGCGTGATAACGAAAAACGCAATAACGGAAGTACAGAACCTATGGGATTTACTCTAATTGGTTCCAGGCACCCAAGACCCAACCCCTATTTTCCCATTTAAACCCACTAAAGATATAGATAATGTTATGGTAAGTATCAGAAACACACATAGGCATGGCTAGCTTTATTACAAAGTGATGAAAAGGGTACGCTCAATACTGTAGTCCACAAAACATGTAGCTATGCTTTCTTTATTTGAGTCCCCGTCTGAGGAGTCCGTTTTCTCATCGCTTCAGGACGCCTGAGTCCTCCGTTTTCTCTCATCTTAGAGTGCACCCGAGACTTTGTTATTCCTTAGTTATGACACAGAATTTGAAATTGCAACTGGGGTTGCAATTGTTAAGGCAACTAGATATGTCTGATTACAGCAAATGTGTTATTGTCAATTTGTAGGTGAAAGATTTTATCCTCAATAGATGTAGGTGAAGCAAGGGGGTAACAATACACCTGGAGGCAACTGCGTGATAACTAAATTCTCGGCCTGAAAAATGCGCTATAACAGCAGGTGTGCAGATTTTGATGGAGGTGTGATAACGAAAATAGCGATAACCAAGTGCATTATAACCAAGGGATGACTGTAATTACATACCAGTACTTCATTTCCTTTTTTTACAATAGTGTGCTCGTGATTTTCCATCTACTGTACATTCAGTCCTTTATATGATTCAGTAAACATTCACCATCCATATGTCTAATACTCTAGCTGCTAGTAACAAAATATCGAGTCAGTAAGATTTAAACATGAAGTTCATCAAAAATAATAAGTTTTAATTTCAATATCCCTGTCCTGAGAAGGTGTAACCACTAAATATTTTCTTATTGCTGTTGATGTTTATGTATAAAATGAATGTTATACAGTACAGTATTTGAAATTTAATGTTAGTACAGTATTGCTTTGATAATCTACATTTACGGAAAGTTATGTCTTGGGTATATCCATGTATGCAGTATACCTTACATTTAATTTTATCAGAGCACTAAAGTACTATCTTCTTACAAGCATTTGTGTTAATAATATTGCAAAACCTCAGAACACTTCAGAGTTACTTAGGTTAGATACATTCCTGTATTTATAATTTCCATATTAATTGCATGAAAATTTTGATCCATATATTGTATCAGATTAAAATTTTTCTTGTCTGTTAAATGCTTGCACCATTATGTGTAATGCATTATGTCTACCCTTTTCATCTCTCAGAAAATATGATTTATTGTACCAGGTTGACACAGTACAGTAAATTGTGTTTTTGTACTACATTCGTTTATTTATGCACATTCGTTTTCCAGTTTTTTTATTTATTCATTATTATTTTCTCGTATGGCCAGCCTCCTTTGGTGTATGTTATATTATAAATAACGTACAGTACATTATTAGATAATAGAAAAAATATTAATAATTGGTAATTTGACTTCAAAATAAAAGGACAAGCTGAATCAGAAGGTAATCTGTTCCTTGATGGAACTGATGGGACTATTTCCTGCTACATCCACGTTTATTTTTATTTATTCATTATGTTCTCAGATGATCTGCCTCCTATGGTGTATGTTTCATTATTAATAATATTGAATATTATAGAATAGAAAAAATTCAATATATAATTTTTTATTTGACTTCAAAATAATGAAGAGATGGACTAAACTAGAGTGTGTGTGTGTGTGTGCGCGTGCGTTCGTGCGTGCAAGAGAGAGATGTGGTTGCCTTCTGTTCTTTTTCCAGGAGGAATACCATCACCATGTGTGTTGAACTTATAACTAATGCTAACCAATCATAGTGCAGCATTATGGGCAAGTCCATTCTAAGATTGGGGGAATAAACTGCTAACTCACGGGACCGAGAGGAGGAAAGGTGCCAAGGGGTTGCTCGCTGGCAGTAATTTCAAATGACTGCGCATGGTGGGAATTTCAACGAAAATTTTTTACCGGTCTGGACAAATGTTTCTTGTCTGGAAAGGGTTCAGACTATTCAAAATCTGGATAGGGTTTGGACTTTCAAGGGTTTACTGTATTTTCAAATTTACACCTTTATCAAAGGGAGCAAAGGCAAACACCAGTCACATTAAGAAAATTTGAATAATTAATGGCACCAGGTAGTAATAAAACCGTTGACTGCAGCAGGCTATTTGAAACCGCTTTTAGCCGTTTTTTTATTTTTTCTTATTAAATAGTAAAGCAAGCCTTGTTATCTGTATGAAAATACAGCACTCACCATAGATGGTAGAGGAAATTGTTTGTAGAGGCTGCCCAAAGTAGCAACATGGATTGGCTCATGAAATTTATTTATTTTTAATATTAATTTAAAATATCTTGATTTAAATTGGAAATTGTTCACAGATAGTGAAAGGGTATAATTCGGAATGACAAAAATGAGGATTTACTGTACAATATCTTAATTATGACATTCCAGATATTCAGGGTACAGTACTGTATAGTACTTGTATACCATCAGGCAATGTAGTACGCTGTACAGTAATGTATTGATACTTTCATGGTTTTAGTTTTCCAAATCCTGTTGCTAACTGTATATATCCAGTACTTCAGATTGTTTAGAAATAAATTTATTCATTTCAGGTGAGATGATTGACAAGCTTACACTGACATACAACCGTACGCGGCAGTCTGTCATTACTGGAGAATTGATCGAGATCATATCCGGCGCTGCTGCTGTCTAAAGGATGTTATTTGCTTCTTATATTAAAAGATCTTGAGATTGGAAGTTTTTGTGTATAAAATGTCACATGGTCTGCTGTAGAAAGGTTCCCAGCCATAAAAAAAAAAATCTTTGAGGCATACTGTACATTGGAATCCGTGCCATGCATTACCCCAATTAGTAATTCCTCACCAATGTTAAAACTTAACTACCAGTGTAACAGTGTAAGCTAACCCCAGTGTTTAGTCTGGTACTTGGAAGTTACCCAGATTGTTGCATTCTGTACCAACAAGACAAAAATATAATGTGGTGTGTTTGCTGGGTTTCTCGGAAGTATGTGTCTCAGCCCAAATAAATAATATGTAGAGTGGGATTTATCAAGGTAATTCTTGCTTTACTCAAACTTTTTGTGTAACCCAGCAAATAAATCACAACCAGAATGTAGAGAAATGCACCCTGAAGTTATGTTGTCTGTACAGATAAAGATAATTTTGGTGTAATAAAGTTGATATACAGTATACCATATTTTTTATTTTTACCACTCATAAAAAATCGGGCATTGGGTACAGAACATATCTGGGAATTAGATATTTTCGGGTAAAGAGACGACTCTCTCAAAGCCGGGGAAAAAATCCCTCGTCCTCAGAATTTCCCGGGTAACGGGTGAATTTTCTCGGAAGTTACAGAAAATGCACATTGCATCATCTCTTGAACCCGGAAAGAAATCCCCCATCCTCGGGATTTTTCTGGGTAACGGAATTTTCCAGAATGATGCATTATTTCATCTCTCAAAGCCGGAAAAAATCCTTCATCCCCAGAATTTTCCAGTTACCGGAAAAATTATCTCGCAATTTCCAGAAAGTGCCCCTGGAATATTAGTCCGCCAATACAGTACAGTGACCCCTCGTTTAACGAACACCTCGGTTAACGTAATTTCGATTAACGAACTGCCTTCCATAAGGATCTTCAATTCGGTTAACGAAAAAAAATTCGGTTAACGAAGTTCTTACGAACCGACCTCAACATGTTTTTGCTTGCACTGACCGGGCAACCAGCTTTAGTATCAGTCCGCCAATACATTAATCGGTTCTAGGGCTTAAATTCCTTACTATTTTAGTAAATATCAAGAAGTTTATACTATTCAATAATTTTAAAAGTTTAATATTCAATTTTTTAGTCATTTTAACAATTATTGAACATAATTGAAGGTAAAGTGACTAGTTTAATGCGGCATCCAGCCTCTTAACACAGCAAACAGGAGTTAGTCTCTCTCTGTTTTCACTGGAGGTAACATCTTGCTTGAGACTCTCTTCAACTAAACACTTTTTTTTCTGTGTTTCCAAGCAAATTATTGGTCATTTTGAAATATATTTTACATATTGACAATATATAATGCAGTGCAGTGTTGATTTAAAGAAAATAATCTTGAATTACACCAGAGAGCTAAAATTTTATGGGTGAAATGGCGCCATGGGGTGACTTCTCTTCCACCCCAATGCCTTCTTTTCTTCCTTCTCCTCCACCCCAATTCTAAATCCCATCATCATCATCATCATCATCCAGGAGCCTTCTACATACACACCTCAAAGTAAGTGAACTTTTCTACCATTTTTGTTGAATTTAGGAAATTTTCGGTGAGCTGGAACCAATTACCCAAAAACCCATTGAAACAATGGTTTCGGTTAACGAACTTTTCGGTTAACGAACGACCTTCTGGAATGGATTGAGTTCGTTAACGGAGGGGTCACTGTAATCGGTTCTAGGGCTTAAATTCGTTCCCATTTGAGTAATTTTCAAGAAGGTTGTGCTATTAAATATTTTTTAAAGTTTTATAAAATTATTAGTCATATTTACATTTATTTAACATAATTGCAGTACAGGAAACTAGTTTTTGGTGCGCCAATCAGCCACTTCACTCACCCACCACGTCGTCAGTTTGTATCTCTCGTCAGTGGAGGTAACATCCTGCTTGTGGCTCTCTTGAACATAAACTATTTTTATGTTTTCACAGTACAATTATTGGTCATTCTAAAATGTATTTAACATATTGATAATATATAGTGCAGTGCAGTGTTGATATAAATAAAATAATCTTTATTTACAGCAAATAAACTTCAAATTTGTGGTGAAATTGTTATTGAATCCAGCATGGGTCCAAAGAAATCTAGAAAGGCGATTTCAATCTAGGTAAAACAGGAAATCATAAAGAAACATGAAGAAGGCATTAGAACAAATGTGTTTAGTAAAGAATATGGCATGTCGGCATCAACTGTGTCGACAATTCTTGTGCAGAAAGACGAGTTTAAAGAAGTGAAAGTGAGACAAATCTACCAGTGTTTTTAAAGGTAGATCCTTAATTGCAGAAACAGAGAGGTTACTTCTCATTTGGATTAAGAAATAACAAAGGAAAGGAGATTCAATTTCGACTGAATTTATTTGTGAAAGAGTCAGGGAAATCTACGAACATTTGAAGGAACAGCAACCTAGTTCTTCTAGCACAGAGTTTGAAGAGTTTAGGGCCAGCAAGGGCTGGTTTGAAAAATTTAAGAAAAGAAGTGACAATTTCAGTGTTATTAGGCATGGTGAGGCTGCCAGTGCAGGTAAAGAAAGAGCAACAAAATTTGTAGTGGACTTTAAGGAACTGGTGGAGGAAGAAAATTATCTTCCACAGCAAGTGTTCAATGTGGACGAAACTGGGCTGTTCTGGAAGAAAATGCCCAAAACGACATTCATCACCAGAGATGAAGCCTCTTTACCTGGGCATAAACCCATGAAGGACCGTCTCACTCTATTGCTTGGTGCCAATGTTTCAGGGGACTTCCGACTGAAGCCTATGCTTGTCTACCACTCTGAGAACCCCAGGGTGTTCAAGCAACAAAAGGTGGTAAGGCATGGGCAACAAGACAGCTCTTTAATGAATGGGCTGTTGCGGTGTTTTGCCCTTCTGTGAAGAGCTACATAACCACCAATAAACTCCATTTAAAGGCTCTTCTCCTTATGGATAATGCCCCTGGTCATGACCCTGAACTTGCCAGCACTTTGGAGGCTCGATTTGACTTTGTCAAAGTGTTGTTTTTGCCTCCCAACACGACATCAATTATACAGCCAATGGACCAGAATGTGATCAGCAATTTCAAGAAGTTGTACATGAAGAAAATGTTCAGGAGGTGTTATCAGGCAACTTCCACTGATCCTGAACTAACACTGGCACAGTTCTGGAAGACACAATTCAACATCCTGGAGGCTGTAAAATTGATTGTGTCATCATGGCAAGAAGTCTCCATTAGATCCCTCAATTTTGCATGGAAAACACTGTGGCCATCAGCAGTCCATGATTTTGAGGGATTTGAAGAAGAAGCAGAGTTGGACAAGAAGATTGTGTCCATTGGTCAGTCAATGGGCCTCGAAGTGGAAGAGGATGATGTGGAAGAGCCTGTGATATCTCATGAGCAGGAACTTACTCCTGAAGACTTAAAGCAACTGGATGAGATGTTAGAAGCTGACAGTGGTGAGGAGGAAAGGGAAAGTGATGACCATATGTCTTCTTCAGATTTGAAAGTGAATTTTAGAAGGAGAGGAAAGGTGCAGTGGCTTACCACCGCTTGCGTGATGTGGGGTTGTAAGTTTGAGGCAGCAGCAACTTGCCTGGACGTGGTGAGGAGGGGGCAGGACCCTGAGTCAGGTGAGCGTCAGGTTAAACGTCAGGTGCGTGTCGGGTTGGGCAATGGTTTCTCAGTACTTGGTGGAGATGTTCGGGGTACTTAGTTCTAACTACAGGAGCAAACACAAACACCTGTAGAGTTCTGTAGGTTCTATTCAATGGAAATATACAAGGGTGCGCTTACAAGCACAGGTAGTCCCTACACTCCTTTATGGGTCAACTGACCTCTCTCTGACCTCTCAGGCAACATGTGTTAAGTGGTACATTAGCAGCTTCCAGATGTTGCCAGGCACATTATCTAAGCGTGTGGTGACATGAAACAGGGGCTTTGCCACATACTACTGACTAGAGAAGTAATGTATATAAGTAGAGTACATACAACATACATAATATACATACACTTGGTCGGCTTGATTGGGTGTGGTGTTTTCTTGTTTGGTGGAAATATCTTGGTCTTCTTGTTAGCTTGAAGTTGATGATCTTCTTTTCCTCCTTTTCTTGCTCTCTTGGATTGTCCATTTGGTAGTGTTTGGGTCCGGTTCTTCGTCGTGCCCTTGGTGTTTGCAGATGTGGATTAAGTCGGAGGGGGTGATCTTGATGAGGGCTTCTGCCCCTGGGGTCTCGTGGTGTTCTTGTTTCTTGGTAACGTGTGTCTTTTCTTGGTTCTTCTTTTCTTGATTTTTCTTTTCTTCTTGTTTTTTCTTGTCTTGGGTGTGTACAGCAAGGAGGGCCTCTTTGTAACCCAGTTTCTTGTCGAGTCGAACCTTGGCTATCCTGCATTCCTCCTTCCATTTGGGGCAGGTCTGGTCAGCAGAGGAAGGTGGGCCGCCACAGGCAGCACATTTTTTCACTGTATTGGGGCAGTCGGTGTAGCAGTATCCGGGGGTACCGCACAGGGAGCATATGTCCTCCTGCGCCTCACACTTGTTGACAGTGTGACCGTAGTACTAGCATTTGTAGCAGCGTTTGGGACTGCAGTAGGGCTTGACTGGTACAGTTACCCACGCCAGTTGAGCCTCTTCGGGTAGGGTTTCGTGGTGTCGGACAGCTTCTTGACACAGCTGAGTTGTCCCTCAAGTAGTTGGTCCAGCTCTTCTGCTTTCATGTGGGCAATTTCAGCGTGGGAGATTACTCCCAGCTTCAAGTTGTCCCATATGTAGGCTATCACATGTATTTCGATGCCGTTAATGTCGGAGATCTCCGCGTGTTGTCCAGGCTGACCCTATTCGGCGAAGGTGATCTTGATGTCTCCATGCAGCTTCAGTCGTTCCACCTTGGTAATCCCCACGATCCCTTTAGTTTCAAAGAACTTCTTGAGGACTAGGAGGTTTAATTTCTTGGGGCAGGTCTGCATTACCGACCGTATCCAAGACACCTTGGAGTCTTCGTAACCGCTCATGGTGAGAGGAGTGAAAAAAGATGTTCACGGCTGGGCTGAGGCGTATTTATGCGATTCTCCAGGATCAGAGGAGCGAGGTGCGAAATGAGCGGCGCCAATCACCGCCCAGCCTGTGAGTGAGGCCTGATCTGTGGAACTCGCTGCTGATTGGCTGGTATCGGAAGGCAAGTGATCAGTCAGCAGTTGTAGGGGAGAGTTTCCACTACACCTTCTCTTTATTTATCTATATGTCACTTTCTTGAGAAACATTATCAGCATTCAGTTATCAATATTGTTTTTTTGGGGTTGAGAAAAATTAATTTATGTACATTGAGTTGTTCCTTGCTGTACTTCAGTTTATATAATTATTAACTGTCCATATCATATACTTAGATTATCATACCTATACAGTACAATATGTGTGTAGTTTAATAATTTACGAGTTGATTTATGTATAAACCGTTGTGAGCTGACTTATT